TGACAGCACTGGTGATGCTCTTTACACCGGCCGAGCCAATATTTCTCGGGAAAACGTCTCCGAGTGCCGGGACAAACTTGTGTCTGAAGTCGAGTCTTTGCTGAACAGAGTCTCGGATTGGGGGCGACTAAATCTAGTCCAGTTTAACCCCCAGAAGACACAAGTTTGCGTGTTAACCGCTAAAAAGAACCCCTTTGTCGTATCTCCTCAGTTTCAAGGCACTCCCCTTGTTGCCTCAGCCAGTATCGGAGTTCTCGACGTCTACATATCGAGTAACGTGCAGTTTCGTGGTCACTTGGAAGAGAAGGCCAAATTGGCCTCTATAAAGCTTGGCGTGCTCAGCAGAGTGGGACAGTATTTCATGCCGGTACACCGCCTGCAACTTTACAAGGTGCAGGTTCGGCCGCACATGGAATACTGTTCCCATCTCTGGGCTGGGGCTCCCCAGTACCAGCACCTTCCACTTGACCGCATCCAGTGCAGAGCGGCTCGAATCGTCGACGACCGAGTTCTTTCCGATCGGCTCGATTCACTGGCACTGCGAAGAGATGTTGCATCTCTTTGCATTTTCTTTCGCATATACCATGGAGAGTGCTCTGAGGAATTGTTCGGATTAATCCCAGCCGCCAAATTTCGTGAACGCACTACGCGGCAAACGTCCCGATACCATCCAATCCATCTGGATGCTTGGCGGTCCACCACTGTACGTTTCAAGAGGCGTTTTCTTCCGCGTACAACCTCTTTGTGGAATAGTTTACCACCAGCGATTTTTCCGGCCTTTGCACCTTCCATTTATGCCGAGGCATGGCACTAATACCTCTTGGCAAGGGACTGACTGACTGCGCTGACGTAGCGGTTTTGTCACATAACCGTTACGTCAGCGGTCGATGTGGTCGTTAATTTCCTACGCCTTATTATTTTTTTTATATTATTTTACCGTTTCTATATCGTTTTAATGTTTCTTTTTGTCAATAATTAAAAATTACGCAAATACGACTTACCGACGGCAACACAGCTATAAAATCTAAAAATTTTCAGGGACAGGCAGGCTACGCTTTAGCACGTAGCGATCATTCTCCTGTTCTCTAACCTCCATGGATAACTACATGGGGGTTAGATATCTATATACTATAAAAGTAGTCAGAGAATGTCATGTATAGTGATACGAACTTAGCGGTTTCGGCGCTAGATCTAACGCTTTCTAGGCTCTGACAATGCCCAACAAAAATTAGTAGCGCTCAACTTAGCACTTTTTAAATAATATTCCGCTTTTTTGAAATATAAACATTTAATGAAACGTTATTATTCAAAATAAATAAAACACATCATCCACAGCCTCATAAAATAAAAATACGAATTATTTGACAACATTCAAAGACTACAATATTAGGTATATACGGAAAACAACATTTTATCGACAATTTAACAATAAAAATATTATTTTGGACCCAGCACCATATCCAAGTTACAATTTAGAAAAATAATTGGAACATTTTTCTGACTTGGAAAAGAGCAATATACGTAAACAATGAGAAAATTTTACTGTATAATTAATAAAACAGTTCAAGAGAGATTGCCAAAGAATTTTCACATATTAAAAAAAAGAATATAATTAATGTCACTGAAACTTTAAAGACGAACGTTTTGGCATAAGTGCAGATTAGATAAATAAATATCTCAGACATGAATTGCGCAATATAATATTTCTGAGACATGGATACCATTGAGTTATACAACACTAGAGGAGCAAACCACATTACCGCGCGTCGAAAAAAGTGTAACCACTATCTAAACGCGACGATGTAGCTTTGAAACTAACAACAATTTGAAATAAACAAATATCTATCTCACTTACACAAGTTGCGAAAACAATATCATCGCTAAGATTAGATAAATATAGAAATTTTACCTAAAATACACAATAAAAATGAGTTTTTTTTAAGCTGCAGTTAATTGTTTTTATATTAAAAAAGTATATTTTATTTTAAAATCTTTATTGAGTGCCCTAAGAAGAAAAGGATGCAAAGCTTATCAGATGAATAGAAGTAAACATAATGATGAAATAAAACATATTTTATAAGTATTTTTATTGTAAATCAAACAATATAAAATAGGTAATAAAATATAATTAATGTAAAATTTGTACGAAATTATAATTAATATAAAATTTAGGTCATAAAATATATTTAATAGATAATTCATGAATAAACTAAAATAAGAATAATTAATTATTTTGTATGAAAGTACGTTTTACGTAGTTTTTATTATAATTTTTAAAATATTTAAAATTAGAGGTAACAAATTAACTTACTCCATTAATTATATAGTTTCCCATTAATGTAGGATAATCACAAATGCGGAAAAGTTGCATCATTGAACCTAAATGGCAATATTGAATAATTTTATTTAATTATTTGAGGTTTTTTTACGTTTATATGAAAACAAGAACTAAAAATTATGTGTTGAAAGTAATTCCGCTTGATTTATTACATTTTTGTGACCTTGAATAGCATTTTTCCACTACGCATTTACCCATTTTTTGTCGCGGCTCAACTCTGTCGGCGTCACATTGAACACTGATCTGACGTCATCTAGGCATATGGCTGTGGCCATATGTGCAGTGGCAAAGCTTTGGCGCGGTTATTACCGATCTAGTGTAATATATAAATTAATGATGGATACTGACAAATGACGCTATACAATATAGGACGGAAATTAAAGAATACCATGATGCTGGTGGTAACAATCCATTTCAAGAATCGGCAGAACTTGCGTTACGTGTTTTGTTTTTACCCTTCTCGAAAGTTGACATCGAAAGGATTTTTTTATTGTTTTTATGATTTATGGTTCATAAAAGATAGCTTGATCTCTGCGACAGCTGTCAGTAAAAATCACCCCTATGAAGTCCTGAATTTCTTAGTAGTACAGACAGTACCTGTCAATGTCATACTTTATGGGCATGCACTAATTAGGTCGGCATGCCCATAAAGTATGACATTGACAGGTACTGTCTGTACGTAGACAGAGAATCCTACTGTCTACGTGTCTGTACTACTAAGAAATTCAGGACTTCATAGGCGTGATTTTTACTGACAGCTGTCGCAGAGATCAAGCTATCTTTTACGAACCATAAATTATAAAAACAATAAAAAAATCCCCTTTTTTTAAATATCCAAAATCTAGCGTTTTTTAGAGTCAATTCAGCACGTTTTCTTCAAAGAATGTTGGCAACACTAGTCATGTATCATTTTGCTTTTAACCAATCTGCAATCTCGAGAACTTCTGCATCCTGATTCGGTAGAACTATGATTTTTATAGATTATAGTCAACCAAATCTAAGAAATACGTTTTGACGTTTCACATTAATCATTCTGCAATAACTTTGCACAAGCGTACTCACACGATTTAAAATAACCTTTTACGTAAATCCGAAGAATTATGAAGTTATCTATATTTCATTACAATGTGTATAGTTTTTTATCACTAATTTAAATTCGATTTTTTTAAACAAAGCAAAATATTTAAAAATAACCAGTATTAATTTTTTTACAATGACGTGTTTCAATTATATGTCGCTATGTATATTACCGTAGTGTTTGAATGATTAAAATTCATTGTTATGCGAATAATCGGCATAATATTCAAATAATCGGTAAAATATTAAAATAATCGAATCATTAATTTTTTTGTGTATTATTGTTTATTTTTTTATTTTCAAAATTCCTTAAATTACATGAATCATGAATAAAACAAGTTTATTTTTTACATTGCAAATTAAATTTGTGTAGGCAAAAAAACTCATAGGCAAGGCCGTGCCAAGATAACCACTACATAATTTAAATATCCCGCCATTTTGGTACCAGTTACTCGACTCCACAGAGTCAGTAATTCATTCTTAGAGCGATGTATAACGCTTTTACAACAAAATCGCATAAAATATACAAAATTTGACGTAAGTACACAAAGTTCAAAAACTTTATTAATCTAAGTTTCTATAAAAAGGGTTATTTTAATATTGAGGAATTTATGGATGATAATAAGCCCTTGGAAGGGTGATGATCGCTACCAAGCTATTTCTAATTTGGTTTGTGTTGTAACACGCATGATTGTAAGCAATTTTTTTAACTAGTCCCGTTGGTTTTCTTGCTGGTTCTTCCCAGGACAGAGGTCTTTTTTGCGAACCAATAGTAAATGAAAAAAGTGACTTTCAATGAGTATTACTCATAATCTATATTGAATAAAAACGTTTCTGTTTATGTTTCGAGAGCTTTCTGTGTGTAATTTTGTGATTTTGTGTATGTGTTCTTATTTTGTGACTCGGCTTTAATTTTTTGGACTGTTTCTTCTATATTCGTTGAAGCATGTGCCCACGTCACAAAAGATGATGGTGAATGGAAAAGTGGTAGAAAAACAAAACAAAATATTATGGATAGCTTTGAAAGAGACATTAATTTTGACTGCATTATTGAAAATCAAATAATAATTAATTTAAACAACGCAACAACAGCTCAAGTAGTTGTACTGAAAGTGATTGAATAAATTTATTTTTAATCTAGTTTCAATCTCAAATTTTTATAACTGTGCCTCTTGAGATAAGCAGTAACAACAAATACAAACAAACTGATAAATCTTGTGTTTTAAATTATCCGTTTTTAATTTATTGTCATATTATTCAAACCAAACTGCAAATGATTATCGACTCTAAATAATCGATATCGATTTTTTCAAGAATCGAATATTGTACGTTCCCATTTTTTGGTTGGCATGCTTGGTGCATTAAGTTTGACAACTGTCAAAAGGTATTTCTTAGATTTGGTTGACTATAAAATCTACCACAAATTATAAAGTTGTATGGAATCTACTAATTAGTAGTTAGTCTGTGATCATTTATCAATTTATCAGTTTATCCAGTTCAGTTTATATTATAAACAGTGTTTAATTTGATAGGTAGGTATTGCAATTGCAAAACTTTGGTGTAAACTGCAAATTATCCGTAATCAATGCCCTACATTTTGATTAGAGGTAATCTGGCATCGTATGGGCATAAAAACCCGTGGCGAGTATTGGTATCCGGCCTAAAAGGTAGTTGTTGACAAAGAATTGTTTGTGTTCTTTGAATCTATATTTAATTACTGAAATTTTTGATTAACATTGAACTTTGTGACTATAAATTAACGTTACGTGACTTGTTTAATGATTAAACATAACAAAATTATGACTACTCCTAGTTTTTTATATTTATATTATTATGTATTTGTGTATAGCTGGAGATATAGACCAATTAAAAAGGTTTGCTTGTGGCGGTTATTGCGACGATTCCACAATCGTTTATCTTCATCATCCTTGCGTCATACTCAGCGCCTTGGAAGTGAGTTATGCTGTTGCCATGTAGGGTGGGTTATAAACCGATAGACAATAATAAATTATTATGTCTTTACAGGTATTAGGTTATAAAGTTGTAGCCTCCAGTTCAACAGCTGTTAAACAAGATTATAATGAGTACATGTGGACTATGAGAAAAGAGTTTTCGGAACCAGAACCATCAATTATTGTGGAACAAGATAACATTACAAACTTCAGTAAAGAGGCTATGCATATAGGAAACTACCAACATTCAAACAAAGACGCTGAGGTTTAAGCTTGAATTATAATTACAATATTTTTTTATTCCTATTCAATGTTTATTATAATTATTTGATATAAGAACTATGGACACAAAAGGCAGTCAAAACCAATCTGCAAATAACTTGAGTACTATACCATCTGAAGATGGTGTTGTTTATATTGCGGTTAAAGGTTCTTTATATGCCAATGACAGCTTTGTGTTTGGTTTAGGACAAGAAGAAGTGAAAGCTTTAACTGCAAAGTTCCCTGGGTTAGGAGTGGATGTTGTCAATGGTGTCTCGATCAAAACACATGTTTTGGATACACTGAACTCCTTAGGCCAATTGGGCTACAGGATTATTTCAAGCACTGGTGAAACAGAAATTACTTGGACCTTACAGCGAGAAATTTAATTTATGACATCATATTATCTTTGTTGAATAGAAATCTTAGTTCTGTAAAAATGGACCAAAACACTAAATGTAACCATGAAAGCTGTTCTATAAAGAATATTAATACATCAGTATGCCAGACTCTTTCAGAAATGGACTGGGAAAGAGGAATATGGAACGCAGGTAATTAATAAGAACTTTCAAATTAATAGTTTTAAAGAGTCACTTATCTGCATGTGTGTAGTTAGTTGCTTAAAACTACTTGGTGAATGTTAATGTGGATTTTATCATCATTTACAGAAGTTTTTTGAGATAAGTTTTGTTCATAACACATCCTCTTTAGTTAAGGATAGAGAAGTGAATGAATGAAATGAATGTTAGCATAATTTGTAGTTTGTAGTGGGCTTTTTTTAACAATACCTTGTCTAAGATTGTATTTTGCATGTAGGTAGTGAGTGATATTAAAATTATGAACCAAGACTGCTTAAAATAGTTCAACAACAATATGGTATTACTGACAACCTCATGGAACAATATTGAGCATGTTGAGATATTTAGCCCTGTATGTTGCAAACTTCAGACCCCAACTGACCCATTCTTATCCTTTCACTCTCGCTAGGCAGGTATGCATTGGCCCTACCTATAAAAAAGAAGCCCCTGAGCCAGCTCCACATCTTATAGAAATGATTTCCTGTGATATAAGATGTTGATATAAACCCTCTCTGGCTACCCAGCGCTCCATTATTTTTGCTGCTTATGCAGTTATGTTTTTGTAATTTGTTGCTATTCATACCCAATCTGTTAGAGTTGATTCAACTTGGTATCTACAGAGTGCAGCTGCCATACTGTTGAAAATAGCTCAGATTTGTTTTAACTATTAAATGCCAGCTCTTGACTACTATCCCCCATGGTAAGTGGTGATGCAGCCATAGGAGCACTGACATAGCTTGAGATAAGGGTATTCACTTTTGCCTCAAAGACACACACAATTGGACAGAAACAGATGCTGTAAAATTATTCCACTCCTCTTGCTGTATGCAATATGAACTATGAAGCAAACCGTTTGATTCCAATGTGTGGTAAGTCATATATATATATGTATATATATATATATATATATATATATATATATATTATATATATATATTATATATATATATTTGTTAATGCATTATACTAATGGGTCTAAAGGATTTGAAGTCCATATACTCACTCTTGTAAGTCTTGTTACCTATGTTCTTAAACCACACATTATCAATTATATGTGGGAATAATTTTTACATAAAGAACAAACATTAATAAGATGTACAAATATACATTTTAACATTTTAGGTAGGATTGAAAAATGTTTTCTAAGATATATTATTCAGCACTAGGAGTGAGTGATACAAATGGTATATAGTTATTGAATCTATATATTGCTTCAATATCATATTTCCAATATCGGCCTAACCAAAAACTATATATCGGATGAAATACTATATTGCTTGTGCCTGATAGCCGATCGCGATTTGCGACAATATTGTATCGCAGTGGTTTCGAAATCCGAAGTCAAACCGTATATACAGTATCACAAATGAATACTGAGCAGACTCGATCGCCGCCGACAATCCAATCCAAGTAGAGATGCAGTGTGAGATTGATCAAACTGAAATAGCTATAATTAATAGATTCTAAACCTTAACTCTAATATTATACAAAGTCTGTTTGAAAGTTTCTCTTAGTATTTTGGCACGATTGTTTTATAAAATTTCAACTTTTAACCTTAATCTAAGGATAGTAATGATCGCAATGCAACTGTATGTTGTAGCACTCATTAAAATTTGGCCTGGAACTACAGAGCAAAGAAATTAGCAGTGAATATTTAAGTATTTTTGAAGAATTCTATTTTTAGTTTCACTAGGTAAAACAATCAAGTGAGCACATTTATTTGTTGTTGTTCCTTGGTTTAGAAAGTTCTGAAATTGATAATTTTTTTAGAGTTTATTTGTGTTATTCCGGTATAAAACAATTTAATTTTGTGACTCACATTATAAGTGTAATAAATAATAATTTGTGTATAAGTACCTATTTCGTATTATAGAGCAGCAAGTACATTTTAAACTTAAAAATTTCTCATTTATAATAATTTGGTGACTGAGAAAATAATTTGTGACTCATTTATAACTGTGTATTTATAATCTGTAGTTTAAATTTGTATGTAGTTACTGTATAGGTATTAACTTTTGTGAAATTAGAGTTTTAAAATGTCTCTCTTGTATAAAATACATAGTGCATACTCTAGTTTTCATAATGGTACCTAGTCACTCTTAAGTATCATACAGGGATATATATACTGTATGTACGTAGCAGAGTATTGAGTCAGTATCCACTTTGTCAAAAATCGTCGCGAAACCGTTATTGAAGTGACTGCATATACAGGATAATATCATCAATATTTACTTAGTTTCATAAAATATAGTGTTTCGAAATCCGATATCAAATATCAATATATTTTCGATATGATATTCAGAAATTACGATATTACCCATTCCTATTCAGCACTTTAGTTTCTTACAACAATAATTGCATAATATTCATACATTTCAATTAATTTTGACCCATTGATGATTTTGGCTGACATATAAGATATAACAATGACATATACTTTAACAAAATTTTATAATTTATTGTCACTCAATATTGACAGAATTATTATAAGAGTAGATAGCTAAAACATAAGAAATTTCATGACATCTATGAGACAAAATGAATCAATGAACACTTATCACACACAATTAATTTCAAGTCCATTGCTGAACAATTGCCTCACTCAGCGTTCATTATCACCAACTTCCTTTAAAGGAATGTTAATTATAGATATAGATATTTTACTTTTGTTATGCTGCTCAATATCTGGATACTGTATTTAAGCCCAGTTTATCGAACCTTTATGGGCGTTTTTCAAAAAAATTGTCGGTGACGTAATTAGAATTCCACATAAATGAGTTTTAACATTTAGCTTCAAAATGTAATTAAATTGATAAAATATAGTATGAGCAGTATGAAAATAGTATTTTTTTAAGAAAATAATAATGAATTTTGAAAATAATTACAATTTTAATTAAATTATGTTCTCAAGAAATTCCATTACGTTACTAATTTTAAAATAGTTTTCATGAAAACTAAAAGAAGTTCAGTATTTTTAACTTTATTTATGAAAAATAAACACAATCAGTCTTCTAAAAAATATTGATAATTCAGCATATTAGATCTAATCAAAAAATGTTTTAACAAAGATATTCCTTACGCTACTTTTGGGTACTTTGTACTATATTTTTTTCATCCTAGAACGTCAAATATGAGAAATATTCTTTCAAAAGTTTAATTATAACAAATTAAAAATTTATAATAAACTATATTGAACAAAAACAGTCGAATTTCTTTGAGATCTATTAATTAGTCTTAGAAAATAAATCACAGTAATAATAGGACAGTGACTTTAATGGAATTTGAAAATGACGTTTAGGAACTGTAAGGCAACGTCTATATGACTCTGAATTATGACAACAATCATGGTAACTTGTACTTATCGTATTAAACATAATATTACTAGTATGTCATTTAAGAGCGTTTACAACGTACGGCATTTCATACAAACTTTCAAGTCCTTGTTTTCGAAATGCATGAACCGATTTTAATGAAACTTCATACGCATAAGCAGGACACATAGCTCTAAAATGTTAGTAAAGAACATTTTCGAAATGTCTTATTTAGAACAAGATAATTGCAAATATCTGTTTCTATGGAAAATTTAAAATCGGTCGAATTTAGCTGTAACATTATTTTTCGAAAATGTTCTCATTAACTTTTTGGACCTATATATCCTGCTTATGCGTAGGAAGTTTCATTAAAATCGGTTCATTTATTTCGAAAAATAAAGACTTGAAAGTTTGTATGAAATGCCGTACGTTGTAAATGGTCTTAAACTGTAACAAAAAAGACTAAAAAAAAAGGTAAAAAAGTAAGTAAATTAAACAACACTTAAAAAAAACAATGCGAAAAAACACATTTGAGATCAATCAACACTATTCATCAGTCCCAAGACAAATCGAACAAATGTAGTCAAAAAAGGTTGTTCCGCTACATATCAGGCAAACCCAACTTTTACATGCATTACATTTTACCATTCTTTGTATAACAAAAGGCTGACGCTCCTTGCAAATAGAGCACAAAAAAGTCCTTGATGACTTAAATTCTTTTCCGTTATGTTTGTTGTCGTTCGATATATTTATTTTTCTCTTCTTAGAGGGCTGACATTCAAGAGATGCAAGATTCTCTTTGAGCTGTTTATTTTGGGTATTACCAAGAACGTGATCTGAAGCTGTCGTGCATGAACTTTCCAGGATTGGAATTATGCTATCAGATTTAGGTTCGACTAGTCTCTGATTATCGGTCAGAGAAGTTATCTCTATGAGTGGTCCAAAAATATTGTTGTCTTCTAGGGAATAAATTGGAGTTTCATCCATTTGACCCACATGGAAATCAAAATTTATGTTTTCTTCATTATCACTTTGGTATGTTTCTAAATCTTGGAGCATGATGTGATCAGGAATAGCCTCAATAGGGGAACTGCTTATCTGTCGGGTATTTTCTGGAAATTCATAATCAATTGCCGTATTCATTTTGTGGGGCGCAATGCTTAGGTTCGAATAACAAGGAGTAACGTTCATGTTGTCTTTTGACGTCCCAGGAACTATTAAGGCCTCAACACTCAATTCGGCAGTTTCTTTTGATGGTTTAACAAAATTATGTATTTTGGGACAGTAGCAACTGCACAAACCTCGATATTCCCCACAAAAACAACTCAGTTGCCGATATTTAATCTGGTTACATTGTGTAGATAATATTTGATGCACTTGCATTGCACCAGGAACAGCTTGAATGCCGTTGGGAACAAGTTGGTTCATGTTTTCAATATCTTGATTACTTATGTAAAAGCACTTTACTGTCTTCATGCTGTTCTCTAAAATTTGAAATGCTTCAGTGGCGTTAGTAATATCATGACCATAAGAAATCCTTTTATCCAATTGTCTCTTAACGGCACCCCCAATCCCATCTGCCATACTTTTGCCATGACCTGCCTCCGAAAATGACCATGTTGAATATGATAGTTTCAATTTTAGGGTGAATAAACTCAAAAGATAAAAGTTCTTTTTTTGACGATACTGGCTGCTTGGGCCGTCTGAAAAAAAGTGTATAACTTTGATATGAGGGTTCATTTCTTTTGCAAGTTTGATAACTGGTATCAAGTGTGCCCAGATGGCATTCGGCTCATGGCAATTGTTATCTGAAACAGATACAAATGATTGGGATAGATTTTTCCAAAAAATTACACCACAATGTAAAGTGATCGTGTTTTTGGAGGCACCAAAGTGCATTGATTGGACTTCTTCACTATATTTACATTCAAAATTCTCCGAAAAGTCACATAAAATGAGTATCTCGTCATCTTTCATGTTCTTGATACAATTTCTGTATTGACGTTGTTGTTCAATCCAGTTATAGAAATGAGTTTTAAACGCCGGTAGCTCGTTCTGAAAGTTGGTGATGATATCAAGTACAGTTCCTTTTACTAGTTGTTTAGTAGTCTTTTTAGTTGTATATACTTTGCCAGATTTTTCATATTCATGGTTTACCCTAGCCCATTTGAACCATGATATAGCAGAATCGAGTTTTTGTTCATCATATGAAATACTCTTACAATCTTTACATTTATTGTACATGCAGTCATAACGCGTAATATCACATGCAACGATGTTCAAGAGCTCCTTTATATTCTTGTAAGTTATGACACCTTTACATTTCAGTGCATTAAACATGTACTCAAAGTTACTGTGCTTAATACATAAGCAGGTTTCTCTATTATTGATACTTGGAGACAGTACATAATAAGGCTTGTAAAAGGTGGTGAAGCCGCATAACCCACCGTCTTTTTTATAAATTTCGTATACGTTTTTTAGTGTGTCGACTAAGTATCTTATTTGTGCTTTTTGTTTGTCTTTGGGCCTGGTTTCCTTCTTACCAGCTGTGCTTTTACTTATGTCGTCTCTCAAATAAAAAAGTTCTATTTCTTCCTGAGTCTTCTTATTTATTGGTCGTTGTACATTAATCCTTTTCCTGATTCTTCCTTTAAGACCTAAAATCTTACTTTCAGGTGCTTTTTCCAATATTTGCGCCTGTTTCTTAATCACGCTTTTAAGTAATTGTTTTTCTTTATTTTTCTTACAATTCCTGTACGTACTACGAATTGATATTTCCATTATTTCTTGTCAATTTATCGTTTTCTGTGTTCAATAAATCAAATTCGGTTTCATGTTTTTTTTCATTCGGTATAATTTCTTTCTCAGAGTCTGTATTGTTGTATTATATTGACGAATCATCTTTAAAGCCTTTTTATAGTTATTTAACAATTTTCGGTACCTAATTTTCAATGAATGTGAAGCTGAAGTACTGGATGCGTCACGTGATTGCCCTGATTGTGGATTCGGTTGAGTGTTTTTGTTTTTTTTTTGTTTTTGTTTTTGTTCTCTCCAGAGTTTTCTTTTTTCTATTTTCTCGTCCTCAGTGAGCTCTTTAATCTTCTTTTGGTGTTTTTTTTGTCTTCGTAATTCCTTCTTCTTAAATTCTTCATATTTTTCCGGGTTTTGTTTGATTTTTTCTCGGTACCGTTTTGACTTTTCTGCAGCCGTCAAGGGTATATTTAAGCCTAAAAACGATAGTGAGTTGATCATAATGTACCCCGTACGAAAAATCTCAAATTTTTGTCAAAAAATTTATATAGACTTACAAAAAGCGTTGCGTGAAATAATTGTCAAAATAAATGTGTATCACATATATTTTGACGATCAATTCACGCAAAAAAAAAAAAAAAAAGATTTTCATTCAGGATACCATTAAAATTGAACACTAAATGCAGCCATTTCAACAATATAACGTAATAACTATCGTTATTTTACTGTTATTTTTCTAATGTTATCCTGAATGGAGTGTTTTGAGCAGAAATACCTACTCGAAAAATCTTGTTTGATTTACACACGAAATTAAGTAATAAGCAATTCATTTAAAAAATTCGAGGCATTTCATAATTATTTTATTCATACTTATTTATTTAGACTTTAGAACACTAATTAAAACGATGACTTTATGAACCGACCTTTAGGATTCCATTACGTCACTTTTGAGTTCCATTCATGCGATAGTAGCGTTAATGGAGGTAACGTATACGATGCGAATAAAATTTTCAAATGAATTTACTAATTAGTTATCAAACTTTTGTTCAATATAACTTAACATTTCAAATAACAATAAATTAACATGTTTAATAGAAAATAGAATGAAATACACATGAATACGTTACCTGGAGAAAAGCAGTATCGTTTGTGGAAATATTTTTTTCACATGAGTCGAGACAACCACTTTGAGTACGTTTTGTTGGCGAACTGGCTGTCAAAAATTAAATATGGCAGCCACCATAGACTAATAATGTTGCTATATTTGGGAAAATGTATTGAATTGGTAGTATTTTTTGTTGGAAGTCGTTGAAAATGCGGTCACGTAGGCGGAAATTCCATCATACGCTATTTTGCAGGACAACCCAAAATCTGGTATTTTAAAATAATTTTCAACCGTAACAGGTACATTTTAAGGTTTAAAATTGAAGTTACGGTCATAAGTGACCAGTCAAACGCAAAGCGTTTGAATAATAATATAACACGACCAAATTATGTGACTCTGAACTTGACAATACCAAAACATCGACCTCATTTTACTTATTTTGATTTTATTTTTGATTTATAACAGATTCAGACCTTATTTTTACTACTATATGTTACTTTATTGTTAAAATAAATGATATGTAATAAAAAATTTTGTAAAATTTAATAATTGATTCTGAAAGTGGTCGGACACTAACTTTTTTCAAGGTACAATTTTTTTGGAAAACGCCCTTATACCAATATAAATGGAGGTCTATCCTAAAGGATTGAAGATTTATCAAAAAAAAAAAGAAAAAGAATATATTTTTAGAATAGACAAACTAGCTTTTTTTATAGAAGAGGGGACAAACGAGCATGCGGCTCACCTGATGCCCATGATCAACCGCAACACCAGGGGAATTGCAGGTGCGTTGCCGGCCCTTTAGAAAGGAGTAAGCTCTTTTTTTAAAGGTCCCCAGGTCGTCGTCAGTTTACAGTCTACTGGATGGTAAGTGGATGCTAATATCCACAGACATCTACATCTATCCTCGATTAAGAATCAAAATGCAGATGTGTACTCACTTCTGAGGACTAAAATTCACTGCTTTGTTTCCAGTGAAAAGGGTCTCCAGTTCTCTACTCTCACCGTACAAAACACAGCAGCATTAAGTTGCTATTTTTGTGCAAGTGTAGTCCTTCCCCGGTTGAACCAATATTTCATAGTAGAGATATCTCTGAAGCAGAAGTGGGAAGTCATTTGGAGCTGAGGGTTTGTTGATTTGTCACTCCATCCACTCATACAATGTGCATCGACTTCTGGATATTGTTGAAATATATATCTTCTGGCATAACAAATTTGTATCCAAGTCCCATCTACTATAAAATTTTCAACTATTAAAATTATTGGAAATTTCCAGCCTTTTCTGGTGATGAAGAAAAAGTTAAAATATTAATCAAAAAAGCGAGGAATGCTAAAGAAATTGTAAATTGCCCAGACAATGCAGGCTACACTCCACTTCATTATGCAGCTCGTAGTGGTCACGTTAATATATGTAATATACTGTTACAAAATGGTGCAGATATTAATGCTGAAACTAGAAGTGGCAAAGCAACTCCTCTACATAAAGCTGCTGCAGCTGGTATTATTATTGAGTATTCATTTCTTTCTTATAGCAAAAAATTTAGTTTAAGCACAATTTATAATGTTCCATAACAGTCTACAACTGGACATTCCTGTTATAAAGTGTAACGGCTAATACGAGATCTCTCGAACCTTTCACACTGCTCTTGCATACTTTTTATCAGTAATTTTTAAAGTCCAGCCAGCGATGTAACTACCGATTTTCATCATTTCTGTAAGTGTCAAGAGGGAATAGACCTAGAAAATCTTGTGGCTTCCAACAGAGAGTGGTTTAAAGTATTTATATCAGATATAAAAACCCAACAACATAGTCCGAAGTGCTACATATATGGCACATTAATAAAAACTAACATTCCCATATGATTATTTGAAATATAGATTTCTCAATTACAAAATTAACTACATTTTAATCATAGTTAAGAACAGGAATGAGTTAAGTTTAAGATGACGACTCCGTGGCGCAGTGGCTTAGTAATGAATGGCTGCACTGGGGGTCGGGTTCGAATCCCGCACGGAACAAGTATTTGTATGGCCTGTAAATAATTGTTCCGAGTCTGGATGTTTGTCCTTGTGCAATTTATGTATGTAAACTGCCTCCACGATGCAGGAGAAAATCATAGTGTAGAGGTAACGTTTTAAAAAAAAGAAAAATACATAATTTTTTATTGAAGTAAGTGTGACTAATTAACATATAGTCCACCTGAATGTAAGTGGTAGCAGTGCCATCCGTTTTATTTACCTGATTCAGAATCACTATGAAGATGAAAATTGCTCAGGACTGCATTTAGTGTCATCCCTCGGGGATGACATGTACAACAGTGAACATATGTGATATCACCCTTTAGGACTAATTTGAAATGCCTTGTTATCCGTAAAATGGTTATCTGGTTCTCGTCACTTCCCATATGAAACACTATTGTATTTTACACTGGTATTCTGTATTAATGTAGTCTTTAACCAGTCAAAGTATGAATATATACATATTAAATGAATATAATATATTATATCAAAATTCATGCTGCAGTTAAGCTCTACCATGTAACATAATATTGATAAGTACATTTTCAGTGGTAGCTCAGGGGCTAAACGCTCACTATAAATTTTACAGTATTCGAACAACCCGGGCTCAATCCCTGTCGGCACCAATGAAATTGTTAATTGCAATTTTAAGTGCTGATTTACCACATGCTCTGCGGTGAAAGAAAACATCGTAGGATAACCTGCGTGTCTAGAGAAATAAGACAAAAAATAATTCGAAAGACATGTGAAGTTTGCCAACAAGCAGGATGGGACAGGACACTTCCTTTCACTAAAACCCTCTCAGAAATGAGAGGGGGTCTGTGCCCAGTTGTGGGACGTATATAAGCTGCATGTTAAACGCCATCTCAGAAAATGATTTTTCTTAAAAAAAATTCTTTTGTAATTGACGTATTTTATCAAGATATGTTGGTACTGAAAATGTATCTTCGTGGGGTTCCGTAAATGTAAGAAAAAAACCGCTGTAGGGTACCGGTGACCCCCACGGTGCTCTGAAGTGATAAGACCATTTTTCGTTACGACGGCACCACGCCGGGCACCGCGTCGCTCAACCACCCCCTCAGTACTGTGCTAGCACTTGTGAAACAGCACTTGTCTTGGATGAATTCATCGGAGTCAAGTTTGTAATTGTGACATTCAGAATATTATAAACATTACATTACAATAAATACTTGAAAATAGATATGTTTGACAGTTCAGATTACCAAAAAATACAGTTAGACATGGAAGAGTTTAAGTGCACATAGGAGGACTTGCGTGAAAAAGCATTACTCGAGACTAGCGTTGTTCGGCAGACAGTCTCATGTATTATGTTCAGGTGACCGAAATAATGAATCAGATCACAGTTATCAGATTCAAAGGAAGAAAAGTTGCACATTCCGAAAAAACAAAGACTTAATCATCCCAAGCGACTCTGAAAGTGAATCTGATTTGATTCAAAATTATGTGACAACCATTATTACTGCTTCAGACCGTATTTACAAGAAATGGTCACACCCTAGGCACCTGCAACCATCTATTATGCCTTTTACTGAAATTTCAGGTATGAATACAGAATTTTCTACTTTATTTAAAAAAGCAGACCCAGGAGTGCTTTACAATTTTTAGTTAATGATGAAGTTTTCGATATGATTGCAGAACAGATCAACTTATTTGTGTTACAATACAGGGAATCGAGAAATAACAAACCTTCATTAAGATCTCATCCTCGGAAGCCAACTGACAGATATGGAATTAAACATTTCTTTAGCCTTAGCTTTAATATGGGACTGGAGCAAAGATAAAATCATAGACGTTTCCATGTAGCATTATGAGCCGAAATAGATTCAAAATAATCCTGTAGTACCTACATTTTAGTGATAATGAAACTGCAAATTAATCTGATTGAATCTCTAAGATAAAGGTGACTATAGATATAGTCAAAACTACATTTCAAAAATATATTCACCAAAAGAAGATCTTTGCGTAAATGAAAGCCAGGTACCATTAAGGCGGCGTATTGTTTTAGGCAATATAATAAAAGTAAACGTCATAAATATGGTTTAAAGATATTTAAACTATGCACTATCCTGGGGTATATCTGTAAATTGGCATTGTACAGCGGTAAAAATATCGATAATGATAATTAGGTCGGACACGCAATCAAAAAGCCTAACTGTTTCCGGCTTTATCCGGACGTCTGGCAACACTAGCGTTGATGGATGTTGAATGTAGGCGTGGCCATGACTTAACGCGTTAATTTGACAATGGTATTAACAATGCCGTTTGGCGATAACTCGAGTGGCGGTACATCAGAGATTAACGCACGAAATGTTGCGTTAAAGCGACCACACTACGTTTGTCTCACTGTGCACGATGAGCGCAACGGGGTCGCGCGTATGGCTATGATGGAACGAAATAATAAAAAGTTATTACTTTGCGTGACTCCTATAAATTAAAAACAATGAAAATATAAAAATAGTACCGTCACTGAGATCCTTTACACACCTTCAGATTGCACCATCAAAAAGATGAGATCATAACTTTCACCTAGGTCTTTATGAGCTCTTTCAAATGAGGTCAAACACGATCGTCCTATCTAGTGCCGTCACTGAGATCCTATATCCATCTTCAGATTGCACCATCAGAAAGGTGCGATCATAACTGTCACCTAGGTCTTTATGAGCCCTTTCAAATGAGGTCAACCACGATCATCCTATCTAGTGCCGTCACTGAGATCCTATACTCAACTTCGGATTGCACCATTAGAAAGATGAGATCATAACAGTCACCTAGATCTTTATGAGCCCTTTTAAATGAAGTCAATCACGATCATCCTATCTAGTGCCGTCACTGAGATCCTATACTCAACTTCGGATTGCACCATTAGAAAGATGAGATCATAACAGTCAAATAGATCTTTATGAGCCCTTTCAAATGAAGTCAACCACGATCATCCTATTTAGTGCCGTCACTGAGATCCTATATCCATCTTCAGATTGCACCATCAGAAAGGTGCGATCATAACTGTCACCTAGGTCTTCATGAGCCCTTTCAAATGAGGTCAACCACGATCGTCCTATCTAGTGCCGTCACTGAGATCCTATACTTACCTTCGGAGTCAACCATCATCAGGTAGGTGAGATCATCACAGGCACCTTGGTATTTAAATGAGTCTGAAAAAGATGATTCTACGTAGTGGCATAACTAAGATCCTTTACCCAGATATTGAGTCCGCCATCAGGAATGTGAGATTAACACAGTTACTTGGGTCTTTATGAACCCTTTCAAATGAGTCCAAACACAGTGGTTTTATGTAGTGCCGTCACTGAGAACTTTTAAACCCACCATCGGGGTCCACCATCAAAGTCATCTAAGTCTTCATGAAACTTTGAAAATGAGTTGAAAAAAACACGATGGTTCTACGTAGCATCACTAAGATCCTTTACCCATCTTCTGAGTCAACCATAAGGAAGTTGACATCATCACAGTCACCTTAGTTTTCATCCTCCGTCAAACGAAATTCTCAAGTATATAAAATAATGATAAATCTAAACAGCATAGAAATAATGTAAATAACTACTAAGAAAGTAGGTACTTATCAGTAATTAAAACTAATTGAAGCCAGCGGATTACGGTGCGCCCGGAAAACTCCGTGAAGTGCCATCAGTTAAAAATTTAAGGATTTCACACTCACGATCAGTTTTTGGATGTAGGTCAGTTGGACAGCAGTTTCAACTGACAGCGCGCCTGAAAAAATCCGTGGGTTGTCGTCAGTTGAAAATTTCAACTTAAGATTCCACACTCACAGTCAGTTTTTGGATGTACGTCAGTTCAACTGACGTTCATTTTAACTGACTGTGTGTGGGGACCATGTCACTTAGCCCGTTATGTGCCTTTATAAAGGCCGCTCCTATCGTGGGGTTAGGTGTTGTGAGAAAACAAATTGAATCCTTTGATATTAGTTGGTAGTAGGTGTAGGTCGAGGTGTTATGCAATATTTTAATAATTTCCTGATAATAAGAACATTATTGTTGAATGTGAGCAATGTTAATATGCAACATCGAGAAAAATTAAGATTATAACAACGTGAACGTCTTTGAAACTCAGATAACTTAACTAGTTTCCATTTTAACCGACTACAAGAGAAGGAGAAGGTCCTCAATTCGACTGTATTTTTTTTTATGTGTTGCCTCAGAACTTTTTTCTAGGTGAACCGATTTTTAATGATTCTTTTGTATTTAAAAGCTGGTGCTTCTCATGTAGTCCCATATAAATCTGATCAAGATTTGACCAGTAGTTTTGGAGTTATCTTTAATAATGTGTTTAATTGACTTGACTACATTGATGATATTCTCATTTTATTTATATTAAAGTTGGTTGTACAAAATTTTTTATTACACCACTTGCCTGTTTCACATTTTTTGCTATTTACAATCATGCGAGACGCGACGGAATTATTAATGAGTGGCAATGACAAGTGCTGCTATTTTCAATCTCTTTCTTTTATCGACCAATTGGTAAACTAATAACCAGTATAATAGGCTGGTCTTGCATTAGTGGGCAGTCACTAGTATTAGGAGGTCTACTTACACTGACCGTTTTTTAAGGTCATTGGCACTTATACGCGAAATAATCGAAAACTGCGAAGCTGTGGTCGGGGCGCCAATCAAATAATAAATCTGTAATTATGGAGCCAGTAACTAGGTACCTAATTACCTAGACCTACCTATAAATAATAATATATTACCCTTCGGTATCCTTATGAAAAGTCGACATTCATTTTGTTATTTAAGCACCCGTATGCTATGCAGTACTTTTGGCTTTTTGAGAGGCCATACTTGAATAAAAACTCAAAAATAAATATCAAAAGTGCGCGCGTGAAAATCTCACAAAATTAGCGCGTTGCAGGAGGCTGTGCAGCGTAGGTATATTTTATGCCTAAAGCGCGGAGTGACAGGCCTGATTTCTTTAAAAAGTCGTATAATTACAGTGCGCAGGTTCATTCTAAAAGGGTTTTAGAGTAGAAAAATATGTCTCAGTAGTATTTATTTACATGATTTCGTAGCCCAGTCTCTAGGGTTCTGTCTAAGCTACTAAGCTTTTACTGTAGGTGTATCTGGCCTTTACTTTTTAATACAATGTCTTAATTTATATCAAGACCAAACAGCTCTCTTTCAAACTCATTTTTATAAATATTCGTGAAATAGTAGCTTAATGCTGCTGTATTTCGTACGGTGAGTGTAGAGAACCAGAGACCCTTTTTACTGGAAACGAGGCATTCCATCTTAGTCCTCACGGGTGACAACGCATCTGCATTTTGATTCATAATCGAGGATAGATGTAGATGTCTGGACCGCAGCAACCACTTACCATCAAGTGGACTGTATGCGCGTTTGTCACCCTATCCTATAAAAAAAAAATTCGTACTACATACCTGTGGCACTCGGAAATAGTGTTTTTTTATCATGAAGAATTTTCAAAATCTGATCACCATTCAAAATCATCAAGAAATACCGACTACAACCTTCTTCATTGTCTTCATTATCATAACAGCCCATCATAAGTGTACTGCTAAACGTGTAACCCCAAGGTTGCTTACTATTATAACATTAGTGTAGATTATTCCATGGGAGCGTACAATCAACCTGCATCAATTTCCTCATTAATTCTGACAAGAGAAGATACTATAAAATAATAATTTTAAGTTAAATCAGAATGGACAAACATATAACATGAAAAAGAATGTAACTATTTCATTGTATGAATTTCAGGCAAAGCCACAACACTAAAATTCCTCATTCAATCTGGAGCTTGTGTTGACAAACAAGATATTGACGGTCAGACGGTACTCCACAAAGCAATCCAAAACAAAAGGTTTGATTTAGTGAGTATATTGACTGATGCTTGTCCCTCAATTGATACTGTAAGAGATTACAAAGGCAATCTGGCAACTGATTAAATAGAACACTAGTAAATATCAATAGAAAAAGAAGTATTTTTAGATTGTAAAACATACTACTAAAATTAGTCATGTGCAAGTCTGGGATGCTGTAGTACCTCTCTTATGCTGATTTGTCATTACAGAAATGGCGTTGTGGGAGACGATTTCAGTTTCACAATTTCAAGTTACCATATTGTCACATAGACATATTATGGTCATTTTAAAACTGGATTACTAGCTTCATGTTAAATATACTATTTAATACAATATTGAAGCGTTATTCTTTATATCAAACAAAAATTTAATTTACAGAAGATAGATTAATGGAAGAAAAATAATTTTTCTCCTACCTACAGAGTTCATACTATTTTTTTACGGTAATTGTAGGTATGGGTAAAAATGGAACATCTTTTTATAACAGGTTTTCCGAGTATTGTTAAAAGCTGTAAATCGTAATCCTTATTTCTTTTATATTTAAGTACAAACTATGAAATTTATTGAATTCCGAAATCCCTTTTGCATAATCTGCTATTTTAAACTTTAAAATTATGAAAACACAAGTGAACTCTATGCTTTTGCAAAACGGAACCTTTATTTTCATATTTAAAATAATTGATGCTTGTTTAAAAAAAATTAGAGTGATTTAATTTCTCATAAAGAAGTAATTTATATTCATTACATACATATCCATTAATATATATTAGTATGTAGTATATGTACCAGTTTTTATTTATAGATAATTTGAAAATATAAATGTTATTTCTACTGAATTAGTGACAGGTATATTTTGAAATTATCAACTTTTGTATTATCTTTAAGTAGGTATAATGCAATAATAAATTAATAATTAGTATAACAACATACTTAGCAAGATAATTTTAATTTTGCTTGTGATTTTTTATTTAATTTTATATGTTACCAAAGACAAGAGTTTTCTATTGTATATCATGTAACCATTGTTATAAAATATATAATTTTATTATTTTTAAGTTTAGGTTCTTTTTTTACAAAAAACGTTAGGAACATTTATAAATAGATAGATAATAGTTTCAGGCTTAAAGTAAAAGTCTTGGTTCAGAGATAAAGATGTATTTTTGAATTAATACAATTTGATTGAATGTTAATGATGTCTCAATATAATATTTGTAGATCTAACAAATTAGATACCTCTGTACTAATATACTATAGAAGAGTAACATTATTATTTTAATAAAATAAAAATATCACTAAGATTAGATTTTCATTCTCATAGTTTTATATTTTCACTAATGTACACATTTGTACTAAATATACTGTGTAACTTGATGTATTTGATCTTTTATTAAAAATCTAAAGTATATGTACTAGATTTTTATTTGCATAAACTACATTAATAACACAATTACAACGTGCGATATTACGTTTTTTCCTGTCTATTAAAATATTCTAATATCTACTGACTAAATGATTTAACTGTTATTCCAAAATAACAGTGACTTTGTGTGTGTTTATTCCATTACAATAAGTAATAATTACTGCCTGCTCAATTATTAATGATTAATTATGTAAGCACAACATTCATCATCCATCATAAGAAATCTCTTTAAACTCTTTGGCAATGGTAATCTAGATATATAAGCAACTAAGTTTGCATTACATGTGCGTCGAATTTTAATCCTACAAAGGTCTGAAAGACTCAAAGGTTCCTTACAAGCTTTTAATAACCAATTTGCTGTGCTTCTGAAAGTAGGTGGAACGTCACTTGGATCTTGGATGGATATATAATGTCCAGCTTTTATTAGCATGGAAGCTAAATGGTGGGACTCTCTTCTACTTGCTATTGACAAATTATCCAAACCGCAAGAATGAAGGTCACAAGCATTTACATCAGCTCCATATCTTATAAGCGCAACTGCAGCATAATCTCTGAAAAGTCATACATACTTAAAAGTAAGCACTGCAATAAACAATAATTTTAATGATACTAGTAAAATTAATATATTATTTACTTTTGCAAAAGTAGTGCCCGATTAAGGGCTGTATCACCGGTGAGTGCAGTAGTATTCATGTCTATATGATATTGTGATAAACAATTAAGCAACTCTTCAAATTCTTTAGGACATTCAATGCTTTCAACAGCAATATGAAGTGCATTTGCCCCGGTTATACTGTTAGTACAGTTAACATTTGCTCCTGAAATTAAATAAAAAAAACTTAGCAAAAGCTAAAAATAGATACCTTGTTAGGTTAAATAAATTATTTAGTTTATCTGAATACCTCTGCGTAGTAAAATACTTGCTACATTGGGCTGAGAAAGTCGAGCTGCCAACAACAGAGGTGTGTCACCATTATCATTATGTAAATTGATCCCACCTCCTAAGCTTGTTAACATCCTCACAATTTCCTCCTAAACATAATATTTATTTTATTATTATGATACAATGATTTTTAAAATTGCATTTATTAAAAAGGAAATTATAATGCAAATATTACCTGTCGCTGAATAATGGCATTGTGTAAAAGTCTATGTGAATGAGTTATACGGGCGCCAGACTTGAGTAACACTTCTACTACAGCTGTATATCTTTGCCAAACTGCTTCACACAAAGGGGTGTATCCTTAAAAAAAAATGACAATTCTAAATTATGAGTATGGAACTCAGTTGCAGGAATGTACAATTTTTTTATAACAAAAGATCAGGTTTATAAGTAATTTAGGAATGGTGCTGTGCATGAAATATACCAACATAATAAGTTTTACTATTAAAATAGTAAAAACAAACAATGCAAAATTACAATATGTTTTATTTTTATAATATTGTTACGAGCTTAGGGTTCGTGATATATAAAAAAATAAAGACTGCCGATTGAATTACCAAAATTTACACTTTTATTACCGAACACCAATGAAACCTTAAAATACACTAATAATTAATCACACTGATTCACTTCGTATTGAATTTGGCGAGACAAGCAAAGCTTTCGCTCCGAAGCTTCGCTTGTATCGCCAAATTCAATACTGCCCCGATCGCGTATTGCAGCGCCTTTAAATACACCTTTTTACCGAAACATCCAGAATATTCAAGTAAATACGCCCGCCAACCGACCACGCGCCGAAAGTTCGAGTGTAGGGCTTCTAGAAAGCTTAGTTCTTCAATTCGATACTAGATGGCGCTGTCGGTTGAAAGATTAGTCATGTTATTTTCTGGAAAGCTCTCCTCGCTCTGTTACCCGACACTAGATGGCGCTTGCAACCACACTAATGAACCTTCGTAGAACCCTTTGTTGTTCATTTTGCGGTCATACCGGGTTTTCATCTTTTCGGACATTTGCTGGCCCGATTGTCTGACGTGTTCATAAATGTCATTCATTTTGTTCCGAAGTCATTTGCATAATCGGTTATACTGCATGGGGCATCAGGTGGTATCCCGGTGATCAGGTCTGCAGGCAGCCGTAATTCTCTTCAAAAGTTTGCGAAAGCTGGTGTCACTGATGTACTTTCGTGAACAGCGCTTCGATATGACCACAAAAACGGTTGTATTTGTTGTCATATCGATTTCACTCTCCGGAAACGGCCCCGCCACGTCAATGGCTATTCTCTCCCATGGTGCACCAACATTGTACAACTTCAATGCACCTCTACTACGGGTCTGAGGTCTCTTTACAGCCGCACAACTTGTACTTTTGCGACACCAGTCCTCGACATCGTTTCCACAGTGGATCCTGTAAAACCGTTCTCGGATCTTCAGTAGAGTTCGTTTAACTCCCAGATGGCCTCCTGAACAATCATTATGGTACAGCTGTAGAACATCCGGTACTCTAGCTTTAGGGACGACCATTTGCAAATGACAGCTGTCTCCCCGAACATTTTCCCATTTACGGCACAGAACTTCATCCTGAAGCAGCAAGCTGTGCCATTGGGCCCAATAGCTTTTAGTGGTCGAACTCATCGCTGAGACGTCGCTCCACCTGGGATTGGTAGCACTGGCCTTCATCCATTCCAGAATCGGCTTGATATCCGGATCTTCCTGCTGTGCATGTAGTAAGCTTTCCTTCCACTCGTTGCTCAGGTGGTCTGTCCTGAGCATCCTCACGGATACCACTCCCTTACTTTCTTGCCTAGTACAATGGTTGCAATCTTCAGGACAAGGTCTTCTTGACAACGCATCTGGGTTGCCGTGAGATTTCCCGCTGCGATGTTCGATTTCAAAGTCGTATTCCTGCAGTAGTTCAATCCACCTCGCAACTTGTCCTTCTGGATTTTTAAATTGTAATAGCCATTATAGTGCAGCATGGTCAGTTCGTAAGAGAAATTTCCGCCCCAGAAGATATTTGCTAAAATGCTGCAACGACTTTACCACAGCTAGCAATTCGCGTCTTGTGACACAATAGTTCCTTTCCGGTTTTGACAACGACTTGCTGAAGTACGCTATCACAACCTCTCGATCACCGTTCCGTTGAGACAACACACCGCCGAGTCCTGTATCACTTGCGTCTGTGTCAACTATAAATTCTTGGCTTGCATCAGGGTATCCCAAAATAGGTGTTTTGCACAGACCGTCCTTGAGCTCCTGGAATGCGATATTGCAACTTTCATCCCAGCAGAAATGTCGCTTCTCCTCGGTTAGCTTATGCAGAGGTTTGGCTATATCTGCAAAGTTCTTCACAAATCGCCGGTAATAGGAGCACAAACCCAAAAATGCTCTAACCTGCGTCTTGTCTTTTGGAACCGGCCAATCCTTGACAGCGGCGAGTTTTTCTGGATCCGTGCGGATACCTTCTTCCGATACTACATACCCCAAAAAGTTGACTTACCGTTTGAATAGTGAACATTTCTTCGGACTCAACTTGAGGTTGGCACTCTGAATCTTCATGAGCACGCGTTCCAGGTTTTGAAGGTGTTCCTCAAACGTACGGCCTACGATGATGATGTCATCCAAGTAGACCAGACAGGCATCGCCAATTAGCCCGGTAAGTACAAGCTCCATCAGCCTTTCAAACGTTGCTGGAGCATTGCACAACCCAAACGGCATTACTTTAAATTGCCACAGACCCTTTCCCGTCGAGAACGCAGTTTTCTCCTTGTCCTTAGGGTCAATTTCAACTTGCCAGTAGCTACTTTTTAGATCCAGCGTGCCAAACCACTTTACTCCTGTAAGCATGTCCAGCGTGTCATCAATTCTTGGCAAGGGATAGCTGTCCCTCTTCGTACCGTCGTTCAGATGGCGGTAGTCAACACAAAACCGCATGCTGCCATCCTTCTTTACCAGCACCACGGGTGAACACCATGGACTAGAGGAAGGTTCAATAACACCGTCCTTCACCATTCCTTCAATCATGGTTTCCAATTCCTTTTCACGTGCTACCGGCAATTTTCTTGGCCGCTCTCTCAATGTCATGTCTGTTCTATGTCAGCATCGTTTGATGAGAATACATCGGCGTAAGTGAGTAACAACTTCTTCGCCTTGACCATTTCGGTCGGGGAGAAAATGCTGCGACAGTCTTCCAAAAGTGTGGTCACTCTCGTTTGTGCATCCTTGCTGGGGGTCTCACTCGATAGATATTGGCACCGACGTAACCAATCCACTTCCTCACAAGTACCAACCAGCGTGCCTTTTTCTATAATCTGTTCCCGGTCACAAAGGTTCAGCACACGTACTCCTGAGATGTCAGTGGTTCTGACCAAGGTCCGAGCTACTTTCCATGGAAGGTCATTGTTTACCCTTTCCACAAGTACACAACGGTGAGCTTGCCCAGCGTTACGAGGAAGACTAACCGGAACAATCGTTTCCGATCTCGGCGGAAGAACAATATTCTTAATGGTGTACACGTTCCCTGGTAACGCACCTTCCATAAAAAGTTCCTCCTGTCCACATTTCAAAACACCTTGCTTAACGTCGATCTCACAACAGTTATTCCTCATAAAGTCTAGGCCCAGGATGCAGTCGTCCATTATATCAGCTACGATGACATTATGCAGGTAGATCACGTTGCCTAGCTTCAACTCCATCTCCTTCTCTCCACGGACGGGTATACGCTGACCGGTGGCTGTTACCAAATTAATGCATTCTCGGTTGTATGCGGAGTCCTCAAGGAACTGACTTATAAGTTGGGAACTAACAACCGTACGAGAGGCTCCAGTGTCTATGGTTTACACGGCATTCCGTTGACCTCGCCCTTGATGATTAGACTGTTCCCATCATGGGTTTGTGAGATCGAGATCCTTGGGGCACTTTTAAGATCCGCCAGCACCCGCCCCGCAGTTCTGGCTTTTACTCGTTTCCCTGCTGTTGCTGGGCGGTGCTGTTGGCCGCACTATCCTCCTGAGATCGTTCACCTTCCCTTTCTAGGGTTCGCTTAGGGCAGCTGGATCGAAGATGGCGCTTTTCCCCACAGCCATAGCACCTAGGGCTGTATCCTTTGTTGCGTCGCGAACTGTAGCTGCTGCAACCTCCCTGACGCGATGGAAACGATGATCCTGCCGCACGGCTTCCACCTCCAGTGCATGGGCCAAGGCGTCCTTAAGCGTCTCGTGGTGCCCGAGCCTCACAGCAGCTCTGACTTCCAGATCGCGGATGCCGTCGATGAATGTCTGCACCAGGTTCCCTTCAATGAGCGCAGGTACAGACCGGTATGCTTTTCGCACCAGCTTCTCCACCTCTAGAGCCCACTGCTGCAGGTTTTCGTTGATGCGCTGCACGCGATCTTTAAGCTGCGCACGAAAGACGTGTTCCAGGTGAGCGTCGCCATATCTCGCCTCCAATGCCTCAAGGAGTTGCTCATAAGTCACTTCCTCACCGAGAGCTTCCAGAACTGTTAAGGCCTGGTCGCGCAGGCCTAGTGTGAGAGCAGTCATGGCCTGACTTTTATTCCGGCCGTTCGCCTTCATAACTGCCTCGAACTGGATTTTGTAGGCTGACCAGGAAGAAGTCCCGTCGAACGGTGGCACTTTGAACCCACGTAGCGAAGGTGTAGTAGCTACTACGGGAGCTGTAGTTCCATCCCCCAGTTTGAGGTCGTCCAGCGTTTTCTTCACGTCAGTCATCACGTAATTAACCCGATTGTTCACTTGGTCAATTTGGGTTTAATTTGAGTTTCAGCTTCCGACAGGCGGTTGTCATGTTGAGCAACCCTATCCTTCACCTCCCCTTATCTCTTTCCCGAAGTTAACGTGAATGTCCTTCACAAGGAGCATGTGCTCGTCCTGTCAGCGGGCCTGTTCCTCCTGTCGGCGAGCCTGTTCCTCCTGTCGGCGGGCCTGTTCCTGCAGCATCACCATCTGAGCACCTAAGTCAGGTGCTGCAGGTGTAGGAGCTGCTGACGGGCCAGCCTCTGTGGCCGGCACTTGGCCCTCTGACGTCTGCGGCGCTGAACCACCAAATCATCTCTGGTCCGTCTCCTGCTGGCGTTGACTTCGGGTACGGACACCCTCCATCTCGTCCTTAGGTAAAATCGGCATGATTTTATCCCACTTCTGACACCAATTGTTACGAGCTTGAGGTTCGTGACGATTAAAAACTGCCGATAAAATTACCTAAATTAACACTTTAATTTTCTTTACACAAATTAAGACTTAAAACACTAATAATTAAGCACACTAATTCACTTTATTCCGCTCCGAAGCGTGACAATAAAGACTGCCGATTGAATTACCAAAATTTACACTTTTATTACCGAACACCAATTAAAACTTAAAAGACGCTAATAATTAATCACACTGATTCACTTTATTTCGCTCCGAAGCTTTGCTTGTCTCGCCAAATACAATACTGCCCCGATCGCGTATTGCAGCGCCTTTAAAACACCTTTTCACCGAAACATCCAGAATATTCAAGTAAATAAGCGCGCTAACCGACCAGGCGCCGAAAGTTCGAGTGTAGGGCTACTAGAAAGCTTAGTTCTTCAATTCGATACTAGATGGCGCTGTCGGTTGAAAGATTAGTCATGTCATTTTCTGGAAAGCTCTCCTCGCTCTGTTACCCGACACTAGATGGCGAGCCAGACGTCAACTTAGGCGCGCAACAATATATATTCCACAAAAATAGTGGTAATTTATTTAAAATCTATATAGGAGCTTCCTTCAATAATCATTCTTACCACACAATATTACTTATACTATCCTGCTAACTCATTTAATGACAAAACCGGTTCCCTTAAGAGTGCGCTAGTCGACAGCTCAACCTCGTCTGCAAGTGTGTTCAATATTCACGCTGTCTCACCTTTTTTATCGTGGGGAAATCCTCATGGATACCTTTGGCCATATGCCTACTGGCTAAAACCCCACGGTGATCACATATATGAGGGGTTCCAAGATCTCTGTTCAGAATGCAACCGGGGCCCCTCTAGCTTCGCTTTATAAAAGCATGACCCGGGGGCAGTCCTTAGTATCACGGTACTCACGACCACTTCCGAATTACCGCCCTCCTTGGGAGTTATATTGCTAGATGTTCGCGTAGATAAGTGCCCGTAACAACATCATCAAAGAAAGTGACATGACGAACGCCTCAGTGATATCTCCGAGCAGGATTTATCCTCTCCTGACATTGCTTATCAGCTACTTTCTGGACCATAACACGTTCAAAGAAGGCGGCTACGGCCCTCAAAGCCGAGTTCCTGCTCAGCATCAACACGACTGCTGGCAGGGAGAGGTTCTCACCAATCCGGCTTACTAGAACCATACACTTCCGATCCTACGCTGGACATGTTGCCAGCGTAGATGTGGGGTCCTGGTCCTGCCCACTGCAGTGGAAGCACCTAGCATTGTATGAAAGAGGGGCAGACTCAGTAAGAAGCTATTGCGTTTACATGTACAATGAGCTTGATGTTTGTTGTTGTACATATTTCTTTAGCACTCAGTTACATCATAATAATATTAAAGCATGTAAAATATTTGGTTTTGGTTAAAAAATGCCGTCTGTGCTGAGCCAATCTGATGATGTGAGGATATACATGTGAGACATACAACTAATTTGAATAAAAATGACTGAATAAAACTAATTTTAGGGTGTTATGAAAATGCGATAAAAAATAAAAAGGGTAAAATTATAGAATCAGGTGTTGTTACTTTGCAGAAATCCATTATAATAAAGATATAAAAATTACTTTGCCAAGGTCTGTGTAACGAAATTAAACAATGTGTCTTACCTATTTTCAAGAGCACCTCCCTCCCTCAATTTCATGCACTATCCCTGTGTGAGAAATCTTAGCGAAGAGTCTTATTTCACCTGAAGATGCCTCGCTTACTGGCGAAACATGTCGTATTATCGACAGTGGTATGTCTTTCCTAGTTTAGTAGTGACAGGGTAGTGCATGCAATTGAGGGTAGGTGCTCTTTAAACTGGGTAAAGCACTGATATTATTTTATTATGCAGATATTAGCTAATTAATTTATAACACCTTTAAAGAAAGTAAAAGACAAAGGTAATAAAATAAAAATTAAATCAAGTTTATTTGTCGATTTCAAACAATGATGCCTCGGAAAAACTGATATGTTTTTAAATAAATCCTGCAGCACAATCATCCTCTTTTTTCCCTTTACAAAATATAACAATATCTTCCTCATTGTATTAATAGTACTGACACCATTGGTATATGTAAACATTAATTAAAACAAAAAGGGAAAGATATAATGCTTAGCTACAAAAAGTGGACCACCAAACTGTTTAACTGACACACTGTAATTTAGTTGTGGTTGGTCTTATGTCTTGAACACATATGCTGTTTTTAAAAATATACTTAGTAGTCATAAAATTATTGTTGAAATGCACTCCTGCTCATTTTACAAATGTAACAATAAAATTAACTAGTAAGTTATTGTTGAATGGTTTTTAATGGTTATAATTTTTACTTGGTATAGTCATGCTGCAGCTATATTCCGTTTAACGCTCAGCTAGACAGGGGAAAGACCAGTATCTCACAAAATACCAGTGTAAAACAGCCTAATGCTGCTGTGTTTTGTATGGTGAGTGAAGAGAACCGGAGACCCCTTTTACTGGAAACAAGGCATTCCATCTTAGTCCTCACAGGTAACAATACATCTGCATCTTGATTTGTAGTTGAGGATAGATATAGAATTCCATGGGCCATGGCAACCACTTCCCATCAGGTGGACTGACTGTGTGCTATAAATAAAAAAAATTAGATAGAGTGCTACCATGTCTCATTTCAGTAAGTTTGTGTGTAGTGCATGTAGTACACTTTTCAATTAAATAATGCTTAGATGTCTCCTATCTTCTTCGTTATCACAGCATATAAAGGTACTTCATAAAACCTCTCATTTTGATACATTATGCAAAAATACTTATTAACCTTACTAATGCTAGCAAGATATGATTGCAGAGGTTAAGATTTTTCTTATGCTGTGTTAGAATATATTAGATTCCAGAGGGCACAAAGGATAATGTACCTTCAAAATGTTATCAAAATATAAATCTTACCATGTATTTCCTCGCCATTTACATTTGAACCAACTGAAATGAGAAATGTTACAACATCTACATGTCCCCTTCCTGCTGCTAAATACAATGCTGTGCGTTCACTTGTGTCTCTTGCCTCTATGTAAGCTCCATTAAGGACCAATATTTTTACCTATAGAAAAATATTAACAAACATTTTCGGATCACAATAAAACACACCAAAGATGTAAAATAAACAAATAAATAATAATAAAATACCAAATCAATAAACCCTCGTGACGCTGCAAAATGCAATGCTGTCATTTTTTCATGTGTCTTGTAATTGACATTACCTCCTGCAGCAATAAGCAGTTTAGCTACTTCTACATGATTTTTCATAACTGCTATGTGTAAAGGGGTTAGACCATCACCAGCAGTGATTTCTACTTTACATCCTGCAAAAAACCATATTAACCAAATAAATATTAAAAGTATATTTACAACAATTTACCTGGAGAAATAAAATTATAACTAATGTATTAAAACAGTACACTTAAATGGTAGTACACATCTTACCAGCATCTAAGAGTAATTTAACAATTCCAGGGTGACCTTGGTCTACTGCATAATGCAAAGCTGTTCTCATAAATGCATCTTGTTGATCAATTCCATTTGAGACCACTGAAGCAGATGCAATAGCAGCACCAGTACATTCCAAAATAGCAGCATACCACCTAAACAAAAGTAGAGAAATATAAATACTTTACCAATTAAATTTTACCAAACATTAAATTCAAATACTAACTTATACATTGATGACCATGTTTCATCTTCACTAGTCATAGGGGCAACACTTCCTATTTCTTCATCCCATTCTAAATCAATTTGTGGGGATGTTACAAGAGATGGAGGGGTAACAGGTGATCTTAAACTACTGATTCTACTTTCATCACTGCTAGATCCATCACTATGTATAAAAACATAGTAACCCTGATTGTTATCTAAACTAGAACATCCCTGGACTGATGAATCAATACTTCCAGAATGGTTTAAATGTCTTTCCCTGAGTGTTCTATCATTGAGATTTTTACATTTGATAACTGTTTCACAATTTTGACCATTATTTTTATACTTCCTTTTATGAGTCTTAACATTTCGTTCCTTAGCATTATCTTGAGATAGATCTTTATTTGCTAAGGTAGCGTCTATCAGCAATTTTACAACATTAATACTGCCTAATTTTGCGGCTTCTCCTAAGCAAGTTTTTCCATGACGAGTAACCTTGTTTGGATTGGCCCCTGTAACAAATAAATATAATAACACGTTAAAACTTTAAATCAATAATTCAATAATTTGCTCCAGAAAAATATTAATATAAGTTCACCTTGAGTAATTAGATGAACAATTGCATCTTGATCTTCAATAAGTATTAGTTGATATAAAGTATCTTCAAGGGTCCTATCCATTTTTAAATTTGTCAGAAAGCGTCACATATTGGTATAACCTTTTCTTACTGCGGAAAGCATGAGGCGGCAGTAATTTAATGCGCCTTCGTTGTTGCTGTAGCCTTCCATTTAGATTACTACGCAATTCACTGCTGTATTAACATGACAAGAATGAATCAACATAATAAAATTAAAAATACATGATTGTATTGACTGTCTTTTCGTATCCAGTTTCCATTCAAAAAGTAAATCAATAACTATTTAAATATTTTTATTGTAAGTTAAGTTGTTAGTTTAAACGGTTGCAATTTTATTCAATATACATACATGTATGTACTTACTGTATTGAATTAATTGATTGTTATTGATTTGATATTTTTGTTGTGCTGCACAGACTATAAAGCCGGCCCACGTTAGTTTCTCTATCTAGTCTGTGGACCGGCCGCTTAAATATTTTTATATGAATTCCGATTCGGGATTCCAAACGCAGCAATTTTTTTTTATTTAACTGGTTTTACGGCTCTGGGTTCCAGCTTTTCTGAGCCTATCATTTCTTTTAAAATTTTCATTTTATATATTTTTTCTTCACTAAATGATGATGTGTCACATTGCGAAGCTTTAAGGAGATTTTGACGACAGCTCAACCCAGCGGACTGTTGACGACGACATCCACTCAAGTTCATAAGGCACCCAAGCGATCAAATTAACTTGAGGTTTTAAATTATTTGAGGTTTATATAATTCACAAAATCACATCACTTTTTCACGAATTAAAATGCACTTCAAACCATTATTCGACCGACAAAACAATAGCAACAGTCCGTCGACGGCCAAGTTCCCGCCTAAACTCTGAACGCAGCAACGTACAGAAGTTGCACTCCTTTGATGTCGACCGCTTGGCGACATTTAATAAACTATATAATTATTATTAATATATGATAAATCGCGAACGCAAGCTAAATAAAACTTTATCGCTGCGCGCGAGTATCCGTATTACTTTTCCATTTTTTCACCCTTCTACGACACGGCGGAAAACGCGGTTACTAAAGTCTGTCATTAAAGAGTAAAAATACATTGCGAAATATTAATTAAGTTATAATATAATAAAAGTTAAGTAATGGGTAGAGTGCACTATAAATAATAATGTAATCTATAAATATAAAAGTAAATTAATAGACATGCCGGAATGTACTTAATTGACAGAATAGTGATCATAAAACGACAGAAATAGATAAAAGGAGGAGGGATGATTTAGAAGGAAAGATAATGTTTTTTTAACTTGGTTTTTAAAGGAGTCTATTGTTTGAACACGTTTTATAGTTGATAGTAAGGTATTCCAAAGCTTCACTCCAAGAACTGAAAAAGATTTACTGTAAAATGTAGAAGAGTGCAAGGGAAATAGAAGGGAAAGGTTTTCTAAGGATCGAAGAGAAAGTTTATGAGAGGAGCTGAGAAATTGGAAACGTTCTTTAAGGTAGGGAGGACTTGATATATTAAATAAAACGCGGTAGAGAGCAGAAAGTACATGAGTATTCTGACGGAGACGGATTGGAAGCCACTTGAGCTTAGTGCGGTATTCTGATACATGGTCATATTTACGAAGTCCAAATATGAACCTTATACATAGATTTTGGAGTCGCTCAAGTTTGTTAATTTGCTCTTCGGTAATGTCTAGATAGCTTATGTCAGCATAATTGAGGATGGGGAGCAGTAACGATTGGGCAAGCATAATTTTTTTGGAGATGGGTAAGAGTAATACATTCTTCGGAGTAAACCATAAGCTGCAAACATTTTACAAGACACTGCGTTGATTTGAGGAGACCAAGAAATGTTAGAATCTATTAAGATTCCCAAGTTTTTCACTACATCCTTATAAAAAATATTAATACCATTAAATGTTATGGGGTTTAACTGAGTTTTATTTAGTTTGGAGATTATTCTTCAACTATCAATAATAATAGCTTGGTATTTTATCATTACATACTTGCTTTATCGTAAAATGAAGCGCCGTTTCCGAAAGTATCTTTCGAACCATCTGTAAATATCCTCAGATAATTCGGGTAATGTTCGTTTAGGTAATTAATACACATGTCTTTTTATGGTCAATACATGGCATTGATGTTTAGGGTTTAGGACTCCGTCTATATTTGGTCTTAAAAATCTGAAAGGTTTAAACTAGTGATCCACTGATCTAAATAAAACGTACCTAATTGTGAGCTTGAGTATATAAAAAGTGATTTGAAGTTGTCATGGATTATTGTTAATAATGGTTTTCTTATTATTCCAATACCTGTTTTGAATAGTATCGGATAGGTTAGAGATAAGATTAATGGAAGAGTTATTTAACACGGATTTATTTTTAACCAGAATTTGCCTGCAAGGTAATGTCTTCTTAAATGTAATGGGCATAAGCTGAGATTGCTTTCCATGACGTGAATAGGGGTGCTTTTTTTATAAACTCCTATAGTTCTCATTGACTGATTTTGAATTTTTTCTAACTTAAATAAATTAGTCTTACTACTGTTATCATACAAAAAGCTCGCATAATCTAACCGACTTCTATAATACTAATATAGAGGTTCCGTAAATGTTTAGGGTGGACACCCCAGCCCGAACCTGATAAAACTTTAAATACATTTAAAAAATATAATACTTTTTCAGATGTTTCGTTTACATGTTTATTCCACCGCAGTGATCGATCCAGTCATATTCCAAGGTGTTTTACGATATGTACTACTTCCAAAGCAACATCTTTAATTTTCAGAATAATGTTATGTTGTCGACGCCGTCTTGAAAAGATGCATATTTTACTTTTTAACGTTGAGATTTCCAAATTTATTTAAAAAAATAAATCATTTAAAATGTCTAATGCCAATTGTGTAGTTAAAAATCGAAATCCGGTAAGTCCCACCACTACTCAAAATTAAACTATTAATGGCGCCAGATTTAAAATTTAAATCTAAATAAGTTAGTTTTTACCGAAATGAGGTAAGTCAATTAAAACCATGAAAATAACCGTCAAAACGAATTTTTCATATCCCGGTAAGTGTTTATCAATATCAAGCATGTCCGCACCGGCCAATCATAGTAAAGTATAGCGCAAAGATGGCTGCTTTTCTCATGAGATATATTGGAAGCGAAACACTTTGCCCTCGTAGTTTTTATTTAATTATTTTGAACAAAATGAGTGAAAACAGTTTTGGTTTAAATGTGATGGAACCAGATAAGGCAAGGAAAACGACTGTGTCAATATCTAGACAGAAACGGGCCGCGGAAAAAGCAAAAAGTTAAATGAAACACCAACACAGTACCCAGATAAGTTTAATTGTACTGTAACCAACTTTGTACTAGAGGGTCGTACTCAGCTTGAAAATTGATGCTATCGTTTTATTGAGTAATGATAATTTAAAATTTTATAAATAATATAAAATAACCTTTATTTTAGCGTAACGGCGGAAAGGATTATGCAGTAAAAACGTAAGTTCAATGTTTAAAAACAGGGTGTGAATAATAATTGCTTACCCCATCTAATTAATTATTAATCAGAAATCTGCTTATTATGGTTTTCTTACTTACATATACCTATACCTAAATAAAACTTCATTGCAAATGTTAATTTTTCTTCTGCTTTCTATCTGGTGTTGACCTTGCACTTGAAATGCACTTGTACATTTAACACAAGATTTACATGTTTACTTTTATCTGTAGTAATGCCATTTTGGATTTCAATGGGATCAGATACCCGAAATTCAATTTTATAAAAATATTTTACAAAACAATGTTCACCTTGTTGACTGAAGAGAGAGAAGAGTAAATAATAAATAATTCGCAAGATTATGAAATGGAGGAGGTTTTAGAATGTATTTAAGTAGATAAAGTATTTTGATTCACTTAAAATCATTGTTTCATTTATAAAATTAAATATACTGATGTATTTCTTAAAATACCACTAAAGAGCTGCTCTGAATACGTCCTATTACAATGATGTAATCAAACTTAGGTAAGTCCAGTATGATTTTTTTCGAACACCGATATAATCAGGTCATACACATCAAAATGCGGTATGTCCAAACTTTAACCCGCTTTTTTAGCTTATCATATCATTAATTTATTAGTTTTTTAAATTACAATATATGCAAATTCCTAAAAAAATAGTCTGATTATACAAAACAGCAGAAATTATAAAATCTTACACCAAAACACATATAACATCAATTTCCCCCGTTTCACTTAGAGCGGACGTAACGGATTTTGATATTTAACGACACAATTGTAGTTGATTTTCCGCCTCTTTCAAGTTTCTAGAAGTTATAAATATGACGTAATCATCAGCATACTGGGGGATATTAAGATGTGTTTTGGAAATTATAGACTTACATATATCTATTGTAGCTATGTTATGTTTATTTTTATAGCGGAGAAAGTGGATCACTTTGTGCTTTGGCCGCAACCTGTACTTCTGGTTATTTTATAATCTATTCCTTCAATTATTAAAAATCTTTGGCTTAAATAAGTCCAGAGATAATTGCAAAATTTTGCGCCAACATTAAGACGATCGAGAGTCGACAAAAGATAATTTATGTCTACATTATTATATGCATTTTCTAGGTCTATAAAGCATCCTACTCTATAAAGATTTTTGGTAAATCCTACTTGAATGCTTGTAACTAAATTCTTTTCTTACATCTATGATTATGGAGTGTAAAGGTCAGGAGTACAGACTGTGTATTAAAAAGTGTCCGTAGAAAACCGTTAAATAATGGTGGCGCCACTACTGCTACTGGGTAAATTTTAAAGAACGTGCCGCAAAATATTAGTGGGATAGATGACTTTTTCGAAGTTATATTTACTAAATAAAATTATTTCAGATTTAAGAGATACTGAGCAGTTGAGCAACACACTTCACACCGTCGACAACTGCTAAGTTCATTTCATGTAGCTGTTTCCTGTAGCTACTCCAGCGCTGTTGTGGAGAGTTTTTGAACTGTTATTTATTGCTTACAGATGGACACTTTTTCAACTATTCTACTATGAGAGATTGTTCTCCTTATCTCTACACTCCACAGTTTAGAGGTAAGGAGTACAGACTCTGTATACAAAAGTATCCGTAGGAAAGCGCTTAGTAGGTGGCGTCACTGTAGCTACAGTCTAAATTTTAAAGTACTTTTTATAATTTTTTTATTGCACAGACTTTCACCATAATTCTTTTTACAATTATTATTTTATTGCTTCCAAAATTTTTATTTTTAAAATTACTCAACATATTTTACGGTGATTTATCATACCTTGTAGCTACTCGAGCGCTGACGTGGAGAGTTTTTGAACTGTTATTTACTGCTTACGAACGGACACATTTTCAACTATTCTCCTATGGGAGATTGTCCTCCTTACCTCTATACTCTCTACTACAGCGCTCGAGTAGCTACGGGGTATGTTAAATCGCCGTACAATACATTGAGAGTGATTTTGAAAATAAAAATTTTAAAAGCAATAAAATAATTATTGTATTATAAAAATAATTATGAGGAAAGTCTGTGCAATAAAAAAATTATAAAAAGTTCTTTAAATTTTAGACTGTAGCTACAGTGGCGCTACTGTAGACAGAGAAACCTTTAGAAAATAGACGCCTTCTTTCGCATTCGCACACGAAAAAGATAGATTTATGCATACGTTTGCATAGAAGTGAGACGCAGCGGTGTGATTGTTTGTCCCTTTCTCCGTGCCGGTTTTTTTATTTAGCAAACTACACTTTGCTGAACAACTTTGACAGTTCGTAGCGATCTAAGGAGTTTACAAGTTGGTTTAAGTGAGAAAAAAGTGTTTTGTGAGCTTAAGATTGGTGAATCTTGTTCAGTTCAGTTCCTAGAACAATTAAAAATGTTAACTAAATATGTTTAAAAGTCATAAAGATTATAACCTAAAACTACGTAATCGTCCTTTCTCACTCGAGGCCACGCTAATCATTAGTCTATAGGTTTCTCTGTCTACGGGCGCTACCCTTATTTAACGCTTTCCCACGGACACTTTTTTTATAGTCTGTACTCCTTACCTCTACACTCCATACCAAAGAGTATTGAAGTTAAAACGTCGTTTAGTGTCGATTAGTACTCTGTGATATTTATTTTTGGAAGACCGTGAGACAAGCGGATATAATTAATTTTTTTTAATGTACGTAGTAAATTTACTAAAATTCCAATCTCTCTGAAGTAAGTGCAACCATTTAAAGGTTACAAAGTATACAAATCATTTTGTTTAAGTAGTTTTTGAAATTTTATCATATTATCTCATACTTTCCTCGACCTTAGATGTTCATGTTGAAGTATGTGTATTTCCTTTAGTTTCTGGAATTTCTGGAAGTGTAGTAATAATACCTTTCAATTTATAGTTCAAAATTTTAATAAGGTTTTATTTTCATTGGTATAATATACCATATTTACATGGTTTTGCAGAAAACATGGTACTAAAATAAAAATAAGATGTCCACTGAAGCTTGCTTAGTGAAAGCAATTTATTCCTTTAAAGGAAAAAACAATGACGAACTATGTTTCAAAAAAGGTGACATTATAACAGTTACTCAAAAGGAGGAGGGTGGATGGTGGGAAGGCACATTGGGTGAAACAACGGGATGGTTCCCTAGTAACTATGTGACAGAATATAAAGGTAAGTAATGCTGTAATATAAATTTAATTTTGAAATGTTTTTACAGGCAATAATTAGTAGAGATGGGTCGAATATGGATTTCACTGAATACGAATATTTGGCTGAATGTTTGGTAAAGCTTTTACTGAACCGAATATTCTGCCGAATGTTAATCGGCAGAATCACCTCGGTACCAATTAATGTCGAAACTTGTTACCCAGCCCCTCGCTACCCTGCCACACCTAAAATGTTATTGCTTCATCTAGTCCTTAGGCAAATTGCCAGCACATGCTTTTTTTTGACTATTTTTGTGAGAAAAAAAGTATTTTAAGTTGTGTTATTCTTTGTGAAAATTGATAATTATATGATAAAATTGAGTGGCAGGAGATCTACTATTTGGACTTATTTTAAAGAAACTGAAGACCAAAGTGAAGTGAAATGTACTAATGTAATATAATGTTTCCTTTGTTTGATTCCAAAATATTTTATCAAGCTATTATTGGAAATACATCTACAGTGCCTCAAAAACAGCACAGTAAAATTATGACAGACATGGCATTACTCAATTCATACATTTTAATGCCAGTCTAATGAATGTTCGGTGATTTAGCCAAATATTCTGTAAAGCTGCTGAATATGCCGAATACAGAATATGAAACAAATATTCGGCCCATCTCTAATAATTAGTAGTGTTGTGTAATAAAGTTGGTTTTAGCAAAGTTTATCCAACTATTTGTCTAATTTTGTGTAAAATCATTATTGTTACATCCCATTATAAGCATATATGATTTTGGTAGAAGCTGTAAGCTCATAATCAAAAAGATTGTCATAAGATATACAATAGAAACTTGATTATCCGGCCCTCATACGGATTCGCGATTATCCGGACTATCAACTGTGACCAATTAAATAATTAAGTCATATTGAGCCAAGTTACAAAGTGTTTAACATATGTACTACATATCGAATTTATGCAAGCATGAATGTGTCGGTACTGGCATTACCCCGACCGCGCCCTGCGGGATTGCATTTCGTAACAACAATAACTAAAACAATAACTATATTCGGCCCATCTCTAATAATTAGTAGTGTTGTGGGGTAAGGTTTACAATTCGGTCGCCTGAATTTGGGGGTGGGGGGTGGCGTGGGGGAGGGGGAGGAGTTGTAGAGTCACCCCCCTACTTCCACTTTCTGCCGGACGTGCTTAGTTTTTTTTTTATTAATTTTTAAAAATCTCATTTTGAGGTTATGTTTCGTAATTTTTATGACAATTTTAACCTGATTTATGGGTAGAGAGAGTTGGAGGATGGAAGCCCCACGCCACTTAACGTGGTGCAGTCGAGGGACGTCCGGTCCGACGGAGCCCCGCTTCGCGGGGCTCCTACTTCTGAGTGGTTTACAAAAAAATAACCACGAAGAGGATGACGGAGTCTATTCGCTCGCTTCGCTCGCTCACACGACCCCGTCATCCTCTTCTAACCTAACCTGTCCGAGTCGGGGTGCTCCACGTCCCAGGCTCGCTTCGCTCGCTATTGCACTCGATATAACACCAAATTATTAACTTTCGTAACTACTTTAATTTATAAACATAATTTATGGCTGCCACCATTTGTAAGAAAAGATCTTTGCGATATTTAGCAGTATTCCGCCGCCACAAATATTTCACTATTCACCAAAATTCTGAAACTCGGAAGCAACACCGTGAGGAAAAGCTGTCAACAAAATGGCCGGCATAGCGATTTAATTTTACATATTTTTAAATCGATTCACAAAAAAAAGAAATCTTAAAGATCAATTTCGCAAAAATCGTTTTTTTTTTATTTGCGTTAAAAGTTTATATTTACGAATCAAAAGATACAATAAAGTACAGCTAACATTGAGTAATTAAATTAAAAACTGTCATTCTTTACGAGTTGGGGTACATTCAACCAATTGTAAATAATTTTGCAAATCTAAATAAAACAGAAAAAGATTCGATCACGATTCTCTAGGGTGAAATATCGATTCACTAGATCGATTCAGTACTATATATCGATTTGACATACAATAGAAACTTGATTATCCGGCCCTCATACGGATTCGCGATTATCCGGACTATCAACTGTGACCAATTAAATAATTAGGTCATACTGAGCCAAGTTACAAAGTGTTTAACATATGTACTACATATCGAATTTATGCAAGCATGAATGTGTCGGTACTGGCATTACCCCGACCGCGCCCTGCGGGATTGTATTTTGTAACAACAATAACTAAAACAATAACAAAACTTTTGTTATTGTTTTAGTTAGCTAGCGCATGTCTAGTCTAAATATTTAAAAAAGTCAAAGCATAAGAAAGTGGTGTTATCCCTTAAAGACAAAATAAATATTATTGATTCATTAAAAAAAGGAGAAATTGGTCGTAAGTTAGCTGATAAGTATGGCATAGGTACATCCACAATAAGTGATATTAAGAAAAATGCCGATTTAATTTTGTTGTACACTTGCAAATTAGATAGTGAAGACGAGAGTAAACATCAGAAAATGATGAAGAAACTGAAAAACGAACTTTTAGAAGACGCTTTTGTATTGTTGATTTTTACAAAAACGATCAACTGGGCAACCAATATCTGGCCCTTTGCTCTGTGAAAAAGCATTACAGTTAAATAAAAAATTAGGTGGCGGCGGCTCGTTTGTCGCAAGTAATGGATGGTTATATAGATTTAAATCTCGTCATGGAATTCGTGAATTAGAAATACAAGGTGAAAAAATGTCAGCTAATGTAGACGCAGCAAACCTCCTTTAAAGATGATTTTAAGAAGAAATTGGATGAAAATAACTGACTTGGATTTCGTTTATAATGCTGATGAAACCGTATTAAAATGTATCTCTTAATAATTTCTTAATAAACATTGATTTTCGTTGATATTGTTGTTTTTAATAAACACATAACATTATGTATGTATGTACTACAAATGCACAAAACCCGCTTTTCTTCATACATTCGATTATCCGGATTTTCGATTATTTTAATCCCTAACGGCAACAATTAGTCCGGTTAATCAAGTTTCCACTGTATTCAGATTGGCTATAGACATCAGTACTTGATTTTAATTGTATTTTCGGTTTAGGTGGCTTGTCATGGTTAATCTTGAATCTTTTACACTGTTTTTGGATATCAGAAATGCATTTTTATTTAATTACGATAAAAATAAATTTCACTAATAATTGCGTATAACGAAATGCAAATATGTCAATTTGGTCTAGTATTATGAAGTTGACATCTAGTACTTGATTTTAATTATGTTTTCAGTGTAGGAGGTTTGTTAGAGTTCAGCTTGAACCTTTTACACTATTTTTGGATTTCGGAAATGCATTTTGAATTAATTACGATAAAAATAAATTTCAGTGAAAATTGTATACAACAAAATGTCAAAATCCATTTGTGGCTGTTGTGTTCCTCTATTTCTTTATTTTTTCTTTTCCCCTTTGCTTCCATTTTCCTCTATGAATACTGATTTAAGGATCTTTTATAAAACTGTTTTGTCACCAGCAGTTTATTATATTTTTTCCTCTTTGACCCAGAGACCCATCCATGATTCACAGCTGTACATTAGTATTGATCTTATCAACCATTTTGTAGGTGTTATGCTTAGTGCACTTGCTGAAAAGCCAGAACACGAAAAATTTATGTACAACTCTACTGCAATAGAAAGCTTTTATATTTATCCATGGATTTCTATCTCCTCCCTAGAGTTTGTGGTGCCACTAACATTAAATTTCTTGGTCTTGTCTTAACATTTATCTGAAGGCCCACTTTCTTTGCTTCTATTCTAAGTATATTTACAGTCCCTTTTCTTTCCTCTAATACCACAAGGCCATAGCAATAGCATAACCCTATTGTTAGATTTTATTTACATAATTTAGGTAAGTATGTGTATTGTAAAAGTAAAGTAAAGTTACAGCCTATATACGTTCCACTGCTGGGCACAGGCCTCCCCTCATTTCTGAGAGAGTTTTAGGGCAAGTAAGTGTCCGCCGCGCTGCCCCAATGCGTGTTGGCGAACTTCTCATGTCTTTGAAATTTTTGTTTCGTATTCCTCAGACATGCAGGTTTCCTCACAGTTTTCTTTCACCACCGAGCATGTGGTAAATCAGCACTTAAAATTGCAATTAACAATTTCATTGGTGCCAGCGTTGTTCAAAACCGGGTTACTCACATTCTGTTATATTTCTGAGCTACCACAGCTCCACATGTATTGTGCTAAGTAACAAAACTAATGGCAAACTTGTTGACTTAACTAACATTATTTATTTTGTTAATAATGTTACGCACATATCCACATTCACAACTATTTATGTGCTATTCTCCCTCTGTATCTATAGTGTTGTGTGTAATTTGTAGTAAATACCAAAAAGAATGAGTAAATTTTTTATTTCGCACAAAGAACCTACATATTTATAACAAACTATTATATAACACCTATGATGCTCATTTAACTGTGCTGCATTGTTGAGTGTTAAAACATGTCTTATAACATGTTCGAGTTTTAAGCTTAACAGCATAGGTGGTGCCCAAATTGTGTCGTCAGCTGTACACTTACTCCATCTACTTTCCCTAGTGGCAACCTCTATTTTTAACCAACGCATTTGGTGTCTTAAAGTACCTCAAAAAGTGGCAGTCAAAGTATTCCTAATATTCACTACCCCATACTGTCCTGAGAGTGTTGTAAGATGCGATAGAGTAAAAATGAAATGGGAGATGGGCAGCAGCATATTCCTGATAACAACTCAAAATAATAAAAACTGCGGTTGCCAACCCACTTGCCTAGCATGACAACTATGGCAAAATTCCCCCATGAGGCAATCTATGAGGGAAGCCAATTTTCAGCAATGGTCTTTTATAGGCTGTAAGGATGTTACCCTCGATTGATGTCGATAGATTGGTGTGTTATCTTTTGCTGATCGACAGATACGGGTCAATAAAATATTGTTCAATCATTGATCGACAATTGATCGATGTGGTTGTGGCCTCATTATCAGTCTCTTAAAAATGTATTCAGAAGAGGATGCGTTATTGTTGGCCACTTTGCTCCTTCTCATGTTATTATTACGGAGATGCAAACGCAAAAAACTGGATGTGACGGTTTTTTAAGGCAAGAGATAGCTTAAATTGATCTAAAAGATATTTTAAATAGCGGTGGAGTGGGCGAATTATCGAATAGGTAATCAAGTATTTTAATCAATGTCGACCAATCCACTCTACTATTGATCGATGTAATCAATCGTCGGTTGATCAATTGGTATGCTAACACCCTAATGGATGGATGGATGAGGTTAAAAAGTGTTTTAATGAGATGGTTAAATTTCTACTATGTTCTATGTGTAACTTACAGATACATCAGGATCATTGACTACATCTCCCATAAGAGCAGCATCAGAAATACAAGCATTTAGAAATGTTGTCTTAAAAGATATTATAGATTCTGAAAAAGCACATGTGGCTGAAATGCAAGGTCTTGTAAGCAACTTTCTGCATCCATTAGAGACAAGTGAAATGTAAGTTTAAAGCATTACATTATTTTATTTTGCTTTTTAATACCGTATTACACATTCAAATTTGTTTTAGGCTTACAAAAGATGAATTTAAGCAGTTGACAGGTAATATCAATGAAGTGCTGCAAACACATGAACAATTCCTTGTTCTACTTGAAGAATGTGCAACAAAAACAGGTCCAGATCAAAGAGTGGGGGGACTGTTTTTGCAGTGGGCACCTAGAATTAAAGCTGTTCATCAGACTTATTGTGCTGGTCATCCAAAGGCTGTGTGTATCCTTGACAAATACAAGTAAGTGCTCAACTGAGAATGTAAAGTATTCTTCTATTCAAAACTTAAGTTAAACTTCATTTTTCATTCATTCATTCTCAGGTACTAAACTTTTAATACTAAAGATAATAATGAAATAATCGTCGAGTATCGGCCCTCACAGGGTGGCGTAAATTTTGTGGTAGCATAGAAACCTGTGAACAAGCACCGTGGGGGAGGGTGGGAGGGAGAGGTATTTGACAGAACAAACTTCTCCAGCATAAAAAGTGCACTAAGTAGACATAAAGTTAAACCAGCACAGATTGACTGGATAGTAAACATGCTCAGTACACACATTTACATGGTAGAGCCTTGCTGCAGTTATATTAGTAGTATAGTTGTAGCATGAATGGGTCGACTCGACCGGGGAAGAATTACGCTCTCACAGAATACCAGCGTAAAATAGTAGCTTGATGCTGCTGTGTTTCATATGGTGAGTGTAGAGAACCGAAGACCCTTTTTACGGGAAACGAGGCATTCCATCTTAGTCCTCACGGGTGACAATGCATCTGCATTTTGATTTGTAATCGAGGATAGAAGAAGATGTCTAGGGGCCACAGAAACCACTTACCATCAGGTGGACTGTGTGCTTATTTGTCACCTTATCCTATAAAAAAAAATTAAAATTGCTGGTGAATCTCAAACAATTCAGATCATGAAAGGATGCCGGGTGGGTTCTTACACCTCTCCTGTGGAATTACTGAATATCCATTAATGAATTCATCAGCAAGTTAAATGCTAATCATTTCTACACAGTAGGTTATGCAGATGATCTGACATTACTCGTCTCTGGAAAGATAGCAAGCATGGTGTGCGACCTGACCCAAGCGGCTCTCCGTATAGTGGAGAGATGGTGCAGGGAATATGACCTAACCGTTAATCCAAACAAAACAGTTCTAGTAATTTTCACACAAAAACGAATGCTGAATAACTATCATCTCCCAAGTCTTTTCAACACAAAACTCCAGCTATCCTTTGAGGTAAAATACTTAGGTCTTACCTTGGACAGTAAACTCAACTGGAACAAACACATAGAAAACAAAATCAACAAAGCTGTACAAAACTGTAATTCAGCCCATGATCACATATGGCTCTCTGGATTGGTGGACCAAAACTAATGAAGCTACCACTATAAAAAGCTTCAGCGTTAAAAGAGATTGGCATGTATGGCTGCCACGGGCTGCATAAGAACTACACCGACAGCAGCTTTAGAGGCTATACTGGAGCTAACCCTGCTTTATCTACATATACAACAAGAAGCAACTTTAGCTGGCATTAGACTCAAGACCCTAAGTCTTTTAAGTAAGATTAGAATCCCCCATACAGGTATAATTGATAGAATTTAGGCCAGAAGGGATCGGCTCTGACCACTATAGGGCCGTAACCAATAATACCAATCCCCTTTGGTTATGTTCGTTCACTGGTACATAGAAACTTCAATAATTTACATGCTCAGCTTTGGAAAAAATTTTGTAGACTGTAGACAAGCTAGGGAGGCCTTGCCTGAAATAAACAGTCGCCTAATCAGGGTTCTAATGAGACTGAACAAGCCACAGATTAGGGTAATAACAAGTGCTATCACAGGACATGGCTCCTTTCACAAACATATATTTACTATAGGTGTTACAGACAGACCCCTGTGCAGGGCATGCATGGGTGAGGAAGAAACGGCGGCTCACGTGTTGCTGCCATGTCTGGGATCGCTCCCCGAAGTTGCTTGCAACATCAAAGAACTGTTGAACTTCTTCGGGGAGATTTCATGGCTCGAATAATCATATTATTCCTGCCCACACACAAAATACGCGCTTAGATGTGGAGTTGTAGAAAACAGCCCGTCGTAAATTCAACTAAAACTAAACTAAACTACACCGACCGTGCCAATATTTCTCGGGAACACGTCGTCGAGTACCAGAACAAACTTCTTTCTGAATTCAAGTCTGTTAAACCAAGTATCAGATTAGGGACGACTAAATTTAGTCCAGATTAACCCTCAAAGACAGGTTTGCGCGTTTACCGCTTAAAAGAATTCCTTTGTCATATCTACCCATTTTTAGATTAATCCCCATCCTGCCTCAACTGTTCCGGAATCCATGACGTCGACATATCGATTGACGTACAATTCCGCGGTCATTTGGAAAGTTAGGCTAAATTGGCCTCTTAAAAGATCGGTCTGCTCAGTAAAGTGGGACAGTATTTTATGCAAAAACACTGCTTGCAAATTTACAAGCTGCGGGTTCGGCATCAAATGGATTACTGTTCTCATCTCTGGGGATAGATAGCTCCTCCCACTTGACCGCATGCAGCGAAGAGCGGCTCGAAGCGTCGACAACCGAGTTCTTTCTGATCACCACGGGGAGTGTTCACAGAAATTGCTCGTTTTAATTCCAACCGCCAAATTCCGCCAACGCACATCGCGACAAAATTCACTATACCATCTACTTTTCGCTCATCCGGGAGACAGAACGTGTGGCAAACTTTACTCCCGGAGATTCATTAAAACACGTATCTAATATACAAGATATAAAATAATTTTTTTTCTTGGTGTATACTATACAAAAAATAACATTAGAAATCACACAAATTTACAATCAATCTGTCAGTAATTAAGTATTGGCAACATTATAAATTTCTTTCTAAAATTTTTGCGACAATCTCTGTCCAATGCGACCGTTTGACTACAGACTATTAAGTGTTTGATTTTGGCCTTAGAGTAATAACATACCTATTATGCTTGTATTTCTTCTTTTTCCTTTTTGTGGCGGTTTGGATGTTTGTACCTCAGAGTAATTATTAGCATAGACATAGAGGGATACCTAAATTAAGAACAAAATACTTGTATTGAAATCTTTATGCATAAGACATTTTATGTGCTACGAAATAAGATAAAATATAACCTTTCCTTCTTTCTTGATTAGTTGTTGTCTTTTTACTATTCTATATACACCGCATTTGTTGTGCTATTAGCAAATTGAAAATTCTTTAGTCTACGTCTTAGTAAAACGAAGGATTTTGATTTATTCGGTTCATGTTATACTTATTTAAAACGAGGTCTCATAATGCGGAATTTCGCACTATCGTAGTAAGTTAAACGAAATATCTATATTTGATAAATATTGATGTTCCCTGTCCCCAAATAGTGAAACATTATAACTCCTACATGGGCGATGTGAGATGCACCTACTACGCGTTCATTTCAAGTTTGCCGTCGTCGACCGTTATGATATCACAGCTGACGTTACCGTAGACAAAAAAGACATCATGTTTATCTATTATACCACATAAACATGATGACTATTAGATAAAATGCATATTATAAAATAATTTATTTAGTAAAGTAAAATAATAAAATTAAAATTTTTATGGTTTTATTTTAAATTCAAAACATTTCAAATACGTAAAACATTACAAAGGCGCTGCTATCGGTACTAATAGGGCGACGCTTGAAGCACGGAGTGAGGGAGCGGCGAGGTAACGGCATTCTTGGAGTGAACAAGCGCAGAGCAAGCACTACTATTTCCGGCGCAATAGGTAAAAAGGGGTGGTGCCTGCGTAAACTGACTCCTACGCAGGAAAGGCCCTAGCGTCAGTGAGGCATTAGTAAACATTTCGCGTCTCGCTATTAATTTTACCTCCATGAGACAATGGATTATCTATTCTTCTACCTAAAATTCTTTTACCGCCTCCAATTTAATTGTCAATAATTTTAACAGGTATAAAAATCGATTGTAGTAACAGTTAGTTAGAAATAATACCATACCATACCAGTAATAGTTAGTTTGAAATAATACCATTGATAACAATTTTTAACATTCGAAAAGCTTAACCTTAATTTAAACTTGCACATAATGAGTGATATATTGGATAAATTTTAAACGTACTAAACTTTTACACAAATTTATATGTTTCACAATTTATTTTAGCATTCACTTGAACTAGTCCCTAAATTTAATGTATGTCATGGGTTGCAATTAAAAAGATCCGCGCTAGTGATTATCGTGAATAAGCCTTCCTCAAGGTATATACTGCACAAAAAAATTTCGCACGTGTTACTTCAGAAAACTGAACACACATCTTAGGTAATACGGTAATGACAAGTTGCAAAAAAATGTGATGTACTTAAATATCTAGTGCAAAAAATCTGTAATTATAGTTTATTTTTGTTTGATAATACAAAAACTGCGTATAGAATTGCGTAAATGAAGCATATTATATACCTACATTATACTTTTCACAGTGTCATTATCAAAATTAGAATGTACAAACACATTCAACAATTCTACAGCCTCGGGTGTGCTTGGAGTTGAATTAAGTTCTTCCGGGTATTGTCGTCGCTATCTTGGCTCATCGATATCAACAATAACATTTTGCATAAAGGTTTCATAAGACGATTCTCACATGTTGTGTCAGCATTGTCAGCAAAAGAACATATTTTAAGTTAACCTCTCAACCCCCTAGGCCATATTCCGTCAAATCCCTAGCGGTCTCATGAGGTCGCGCCCACCCACAGCACTTTAACCCATAAAAACTTATATATAGAGACTACCTTTCTATGAAGAAGTTTGGCGTTATGTAATCAATATGAAATACTCTATCCTCTAGTGCAATAAAAAAAAACTGTTATCCTATGAATATTTATTTATAATCTACGTTCATTTCGTACGCCATTTTCGCGTGAATGTTATTGTGTTGATTTTTGGATTTTTCTAGTGTTTTAGTATAGTGTTTTATTATAAAATTGTAATGAAAGGTTTTGTGTGAATATAATTTATCTTTTTACGTCAATTATTTCGAGTAATATATATTGAAATAATTGTGATTTTCACGCTGCCGACATTCGGTTGGTATGTTTTTTTTGTTATCAAATTACAATAAAATCTTTTTGTATTGAAGTAAAACCTGACTTGTTTAGACCATAAGATAGAGAATTTTGTGTAGATTTTATAATGCTAAACATCTTCATAGAAAAGTAGTCTCTAAATATAAGTTTTAATGGTTTTAAGTGGGGGGGGGGGGTGCGGCCGCATGCGGCCCCCCCCACGGATGCGGATTTTTATGGCGCTTCTAGGGTTAACTTTGAAATAATTTTATTTTTACAGAGAAGAGTTAAACACTTGGATGGAGAATGCTGGTGCGGTATGCCCAGGAGTACTTGTATTAACCGCAGGCTTATCAAAACCCTTCCGACGCCTTGGAAAATATCCTGCCATGTTACAAGAGTTAGCAAGGCATGTACATGAAGCACATCCAGACAGAGGTGATACACATAGAGCATCTATTGTCTTTAAGGATATTGCAGTAAGTTAATACAACTAATTTTTATATATTAATTTTTTCATTCAAAAGTGATAACAAGGACTCAAAAGTCTCTTGTTCGACATTTTACAGTGCTAGACTTACCGTATTACGTATAAGAATTTATTTCAGATTGAATTCATATTTTTCGATAGGGAGGCAGTGACAATCATTAGTGTACTTGCGCGCCTACGGCTTGTTAGTAGTGGGAAGTTACTATAATGGGCTTTATGATGGGTTCCTGAGTCTTTAGTCGTTCGCAGCTAATGTAACCAACTAAGTACTACTTCGAGTTAATAACACGATTGCAATTAGCTATGTGAACTGCATGAAAAGTTTACAATACCCCCACTTTCATAATCTAGCGCAGACTATATGACTATGGTGTGAACAACGCGGACTGGATCTGCTCTTATGTGAATTTAATTTTTTTAAATGTTATACACACACAAGAGCAGTGGTAGCTCAGATGGTTAGCGCTAGCTGTATATTTCACAATACGCGAGCAAACCCGGTTCGATCCCCGCCGGCACCAATGAAATTGTTAATTGCAATTTTAAGTGCTGATTTACCACGTGCTCGGCGGTGAAGGAATACATCGTGAGGAAACCTGCATGTCTGAGAAATAAGAAAAAAATATTTCGAAGACATGTGAAGTTCGCCAACACGCATTGGGGCAGCGTGGTGGACTATTCCTTGCCCTAAAGCCCTCTCTGAAATGAGAGGAGGCCTGTGCCCAGCAGTGGGACATATATAGGTTGTAACTTTATTTTTAACTTTATACCCACACTAGGATATTCTCCTGTATTGTGGAGGCAGTTTACATATGTACGTGAATTACGGAATAACAAACATCAAGACTTGAAACAATTATTTGTAGGCCATACAAATACTTGTTCTGTGCGTGATACGAACCCGCGGTCCACAGCGCTGTTTCTCATTGGTAAGACACTGCGCTAGGGAGCAGAAAAATACCAAAGACAACTGTGTAGAATTTTTGCGACGTGTCTTGCAGAACTTACCTCCGACCGTCCGCTGTCTCGCATTCTTTTAGGCACTGATAATGATTTTGTTAATTCGAGCTGAAACTTTTCGAGGCTTTAGGTTAGAACTCCAGGCGGACGAAACGTTGAATTCATCAGATAGTACCTCTCCAACTCAACTTTTAAGTTTAATGTCCATATCATCATTTTGGTGATCACAATTTTCAAAATCGCGAACATTTGCAATCTGGTCGTAAAAATTAACTCAATCACATTTTTGTCAATCTGTCTAGGCGAAAGAGTTTATATCGAAAAAAGAAAGTGTTTACACAAGAGGGCCCATAAGATCAATCTATAACTACTTTTACGGATTTTATCTCGTTTAATTTTACTTTTCATTATTTTTATTTTTAATTCCCGACGTTTCGGGTGCTTTCCAGCACCCATGGTCACGGGGGGACTGAGGTGACGTCCCGGTGTCATTATTAAACCCGGAGTACCTTCAGCTATTTTAATTATTGTTTATGGTCCGATCTATGCAAAATGACTATGTCCTGAGGTCTTGCAGTGGTATGCTTGGGTTTAGTTTTAATTTTATTGATAAGAGGGTCCCAAGCAGGTGGTAGTACCCAGCCTCCTTCCTTCTCTATTGAAATTAGGATGTTTTTTAATTTCTATAGCCTCACGTATCATCCTTGGTAGGAATCGGTGTTCTTTCGCGAGGATTTTTGGTCTATCAAATCTGATGTAATGGTTGGGGCCATCTAAAATATGATTACAAACTGTAGACTTTCCAGAACGTTGATGCTTCACATCAGCTATATGTTCTTTTACGCGGGTTTACGCGGGAACGTCGGGAATTAAAAATAAAAATAATTAAAAGTAAAATTAAACGCGATAAAATCTATAAAAGTAGTTTTAATCAATGTGTTGTGTTCGCGTAAATATAAGAAATCATTAAGCAATCTATAATTTAAACCTAAAGAGTTACTCAGAATAAAATTGAAGGAAACTAACATATTAACTTTGGCCTCTCAATACATTTATGAAAATGTAATGTATGTACACAATAATAAAAGTAGTTTTACAAAAATAAGTGATATTCATTCTGTAAATACTATGAATAGACACAAGTTAGTAGTACCAGTTACTTGACTCTACCAAGTCAGTAATTCATTCTTGGAGCGATGTATACGCTTTTACAAAAAAAATCCACCAGAAAAGTTGAAACACTTTATATGTTTATATAAAAATCGTTATTGTAATAATAAGGAATTTATGGATGATAATACCCCCTGGTAATGAGATGATCGCTTCCAAGCTATTTTTAATTTGTTTTGTGCTGGTTAATTGTGTAACATACATGATATTGTTATTTTTTTTAACATTCCACTCAATTTCTTGTTGATTCTTCCCAGGACAGAGGTTTTATCCAAAACACTGGTAACTAAACAAAAAGTTACATTCAATAAGTATTTTTTATAATCTACTAGCTTACCAAGCAGACGTCGTTCTGCCCTTTTCGATGACCCTTTGTCATGTCCTATTAAAAATCCTTAAGTTCGCAAAAAAATTGTGGGTCACTCACTCATAGGCAAAAAAACTATCCTATCTCTCAAGTTGGCCTAAACTGCACACGGTGTGCAAATTTGATTAAAATCGGTTAAGTAGTTTAGGAGTCCATCGCGGACAAACAACGTGACACGTAATTTATATATATTAAGATATAAAATGAAAATGTTTCTGTTTCTATCATTGGTGGAGCCACGTGTTTAAGGCTGCCGAAAATCTAGTTCCCCGGTCAAACCTCAAACCTATTACGCGAGATATTAACTAAAGTGGACTGTATTTGCGATTGCTTCTATGCTTATGTAAAAGCGACTACTATAGCATGCGGTACAATGCACTCGCTCTTCCCTAAACTAAAACTATTACTTGCCAAATCGATGAAAGGAATCCTGCCTGATGGGGAGAACACAGAATTGGAGCGGTTAAACAATTATTAAATATTAATCAGGCAGTAAATTAAGGAATGTTGACTCACCGGGGTTCTTCTATCCTTTAGAGCACTATAGCGGCGATTTCCGGAACCTCCTCTGGACAGACACTCTGGGGCCCCAGGGGTGCGTCAGGAGAGAAGCGTTGTAGTTCAACGACGGCTGCGGCGGGAAGAAGAGCGCGCGTCGGTCGCGCGTGTCTTATATATCCTCGGGTCCGATGATTACGCGATGTTCTAGAATCGTCTTCTTTCCCCTCCCACCCCATCACCCCGATGTGTCGATAGGAGGGTACGAATGATATCGTTTGGGAAAGGGAATAATGATTCGGCAAGTTCCTACCGTCAAAAATAAAAACGCGAATGGTTTTCCGCGCAACCATCTCCCCCGCCCTTGAAGGATTTCCTTCAAAAAATAACTAAACAACTAGAGCTAAGATCAACTAACAAATAACTAACTAACGCTAAGATTACCTAAATTCAACTACAATTTTAATCTAGAAATCTAATTTAAATTATGGAAGAGGCAAGGGGCACAAACGGACAACAGGACGTAGGTAAGACCCAACCGTGGTCTTAACGCGAGCTATCCTAATTACTCCGTCGGAACCGGGAAAGACCTCCTCGACGATTCCTAACGGCCAGTGGAGAGGCGGCGTATTCTCCTTAGTGAGCACAACTACCGTTCCTACAGCTAAAGGCTCTGTCGCTGTGTTCCATTTTTGCCGAGACTGCAAAGTATGCAAGTATTCCATCCTCCATCGTTTCCAAAACGATTGCACTAACCGATCTAATAATTTGTGGCGTGCGGAAATGCTAAGTCTGTTCTCATCCATATCCGCGGCGGGCAGATACCTTAGAGGCGTTAAATTCAAAAAATGTGCTGGAGTTAGAGCCAGCGGTTCCGAGGGGTCACTAGATAACGTCCGACAAAGTGGGCGGCTATTCATTACGCATTCAATTTGAGCGAGCACCGTACTTAGCTCTTCGAAGGACAAAATTTGATCTCCTATTACTCGGTATAAGTGGCTCTTTAGACTTTTAATATTAGTCTCCCAATTGCCCCCAAAATGACTCGCGGCTGGGACGTTCAGAGACCACTCAATGCGGTTCTCGGCTAGAATGTGAGCGAACTCCGAATTATAATACTTGCTAGCTAAGAGCTCATGTAGTTCCGATAGAATACGTTTTGCACCGACGTAGTTCGTACCGTTATCCGAATATAATTTACTTACAGGGCCTCTGCGGGATAGAAATCTTTTAAATGCACCCATAAAGCCTGCTGTGCTTAGATCACCCACGAGTTCTATATGCACTGCTCGAGTAGTTAGACATACGAAAATGCAGACGTAAGCCTTTGTGGATCTTATACCGCGCCCGCGAGTGAGCGTGACCTTAAACGGACCAGCAAAATCAGACCCGGTGTGCGTGAAGGGCTTTACTGATTGTATCACTCTGCAAGATCTAAGTTCCGCCATTTCCGGAAATGACGGCTTGGGGCGTGCCCGAAAGCAAGCTATACATCTGTGCACCCGATTGCGTATTAAACTACGTGCAGAAAGAATCCAATAATTCTGACGCAAGATCGACATCAATAAATCGGGGCCAGCGTGCGAGTTCAATTTATGATGATAATCGACTAATAAGTTCATGATATGGTCTTTACGCGGTAAAACTATAGGGTGCCGTTGGTCGAAACTCAATTGCGAGTTGGACAAGCGTCCACCTACCCTTACAATCCCATCCTGTAAAAATGGCTTAAGGCGTTGAAAGGCGCGACTACAAGCTCTATTCGATTGTAATCTTGTAATTTCTTCGGAGAAGTGCGCACGTTGAAGTTCACGTAATACTAGCGACTCGGCATAGTTGTAATCGGATGCTAAGATATACGAACGTCGCGGTAAAAGCTTCGCGAATCGACAAACGTAAATTACGATACGCAATAATTTCGACCAAGAGGACAAGCGGTTCGCCAGAGCAATAATTGGAGAAACCTCGCTCGAAACGCTCGCCACTAGAGCGTG